TGACAAATAGCTTTGACTCTCAGGATGAAGACTGGAAAACTGAAACCCCTAAGAAATTAAATGGAAAATTTACCATATTATTATCTGAAAAGCCAATAGTAGGACCTAATGGTATTTTAGGTCCTGCTCATCATTTCAAAGCCAGAATTCCCTTTTATTTTTTCTGGTGCTGGAGATGGTACCCAGGACTTCACATGTGCTAAGCATAGGCTCTACCACTGAGCCAATCAATGTCCAGTAACCAGGATTCCTTTGTACATTCTGTATTTAATCCAAAACAATTGGTTTTGTTGGTGTTATTTGCTGATTTGACTGGTTGGCTTAGTTTTTGTGTTACTTTCAGGTTTTACTCTTTTTTTTTTTGTTTTCTGGGTTTTTTTTTTGGTGGTAATGAGGTTTGAACTCAGGGCTCCACACTTGCTAGGCAGGCACTCTACCACTTGAGCCACTCCACCAGCCCTTTCTGTGTTGGATTATTTATTTATTTATTTTTGGCAGCACTGGGGTTTGAACTTAGGGCCTCATGCTTACTAACCAAGCAGTCTTACTGCTTGAGCCACTCCGTCAGACCTTGTGTGGGTATTTTGAGAAAAGGTCTCATGAACTATTTGCCTAGGCTAGCTTTGAACCACATTCCTGCAGATCTCTGCATTCTGGTTAGCTAGGATTACAGGTGTGAGCCATCAACACCTAGTTTACTTGTTTGTTTTGAAGTTCAAAAGGAATTCCAACAGAACACTTCTTTGTAGAACTGTTAACAAAAGCTTCTAATTTAAACTACCTTCCCCTAGATAATGTACATAAACAGCCTGAAGAATAAACATACATTCCAGAGCAGAATCAGACATCTCTACAAGTGTTCAGCCGTTTATGGATGGGCAGCTAGATACTGTAAGCAGGTTAAAACTTACCCCAAATGACCACTACTCCAGATTAAGGGAACTCTACATCACACTGCAATTCAGCCCTGAACTATCTTCTCATAAAACAGAATCCAGGGAATAGTCAAAATATTAATAACACAGTCAGCCTTGGCTATATTGTCCTATAGGTTATCTAGGTCTATTTTGTACATTTTCCCCAAAACTCATTATTTTTCCTCTTATTTTATTTATTTTTAATTAACAAATGAAAAATTATGTATTTTTATGTTATATGTATTAGTCTGTATCTTTATGACTAAATACTTGACCAAAACGACTTAAAGGAAGAGAGCTTTTGCTTATAGTTTGTTTCAGTCCATCATGGTGGGAAGGGTGTAGGAGATCAAGGCTGTTCAACTTATGAAAGCCAGGAAGCAGAACCCTATTTTGTACTTTGACAGAGTGTATATCTAAAGAGCTAAGCACAAACTATGTATCACCTAAGTGATTTTTTTTGTTGGTACTGGGGTTTGAACTCAAAGCTTTGGATTTAAGTATACTACCACTTGAGCCACACACCCCAGACCTTTTTATCCTTTCAAATAGGGTCTGGCATTCCTGGACTACAATCCTCCTAGTTGTGCTTCCCCCACAGATGGGAGGACAGGCATATACCACTACACCCAGCTACTGGTTAAATGGGGTCTTGCAAGCTTTTTGCCCAGGCTGTCTTCAAACCCTGTTCCTCTCAATCTCCACCTCCCAAGTAGATAGAATTACAGGCATGAGCCACCACGCCCAGTTCACCGAAGTGATCTTGATGATTTCTCAAGTATGACCAGGAAGTGGTGTCACCATTTTACCTTGGCTAGTACAACAAGCAGGGCATGGACTAAAGAAGGAAGAATAGGTTGCCATTCCATTTTGGGGAGACCCTGAAATCATCCCGCCACCTTAAAAGAAGTATTAGCAAACACAATATACTTTCTTATTGTGCTTTTTCCTAAATAAATACTGAATAAATTAACCCACTCTTTTCTATCTTACACAAATCATAATCCATTTAGAAACAAACAAGGGCTGGTGGGTGGCTCAAGTTGGTAGAGCTCCTGCCTGGAATTCGAGAGACCTTGAGTTCAAACTCCAGTATCGCAAAAAAAAAAAAAAAAAAAAAAAACAAAAAACACAGACCAAAATGGACTGGAGGTGTGCCTCACGAGTGGAGGGCCTGCTTTTCGAGCTTGAAGCCCTGAGTTCAAATCCCAGAACTACCAAAAAAAAGGGTACAGAAACAACTCTCTCCATGGATACTCTTAGATATTATCTTAGATATTAATACTTCCAATTAACCAGAATGACTTAATAAAATAATGACAGATCATCAAAGGGAATACCTTCTGTACATGTAAAAGTCATAGAAGCTGCCCATTAGCATCAGTGAAAAATGCTTTCTCTGCTGCCAATGGTCTCAGCCATAAGCTTAGGACAGAAATCATGTTTTAGCTGGGGATTTAGCTCAGATATAATTTACTTTCTAATTAATTCTTTGGGGGGTTCTGGTAATTGGATCTAGGGCCTCAAGCACATTAAGCATGTGCTCTATCACTGGGTACCTAGGAACCAGCTTTCAACACCTAAGAAAGACAACAAAAACACTGATCTCCATTAGAATTTCAAATTACTCTTAAGAACACTTCATAGTTTTCTTTTCTTAGTAAACTGTGTAGCCAAAAGACAAAGTTACAGGAAAGAATATTAGAAAAACATTTCTATTCTCCAAACAGCAAGGTCTTACTCACTTCTTCAAGGACTGATAGGAATACTTCTTTTACTGGTCAAACTGAGAAATCTTAAAAGTATTTTACTAATAGTCAGTCCACTTCAAAACAGGCTCATAAATTTTGTTTTAGTAAAAATGGATGTAAAAGAGATCTATAAAAGTCTGGGATACACAGTAAAATAAAACAAGACCAGAAATATTTCCTCAGAAATATTACTGTATTTGAAATTCTAGCATCCCCTCCCATTTAGCATTTGTTAGTTTTCTTTTACAGGTTCATAAAACATTTATATGTTACATTCGATGAGCATATAATGCTGATGGGATTGATGCTGAAGGTTGACTTGATGGCATGAAGTAATTGCCAAGACTAATTTTCGGTCCCCTTCTTTAACTTAAACTGATCTCCTGTTATACCCTAGGGACAGTGGAAGGGTGTCAATGGCAGTATTAAAGTTTGTACTTTCATATTTCACATGAAAAATGATACACAGAGCTAGCTGGTGTCCACGGACCTTTGGTCCACATAAAGGACTTTGTTCTAGTTCATTATGACTTCACTCAGTCACACATTGTGAGCTACCACAGGCTATGAATTCTACACCATGTGGGGAACATGCTGTGTTACCCACTTAAAAAAACAAAAAACAGCCGGCACCTGGGCTCACACCTGCAATCCTAGCTACTCAGGAGGCAGAGATCAGGAGGATCACTGTTCAGTGCCAATTCCGGCAGATAGTTGGTGAGATCCTATCTCAAGAATACCCAGCACAAAAACAGGGCTGGTGGAGTGACTCAAGTAGTAGAGTAACTGCCTAGCAAGAGCAAGCACCTGAGTTTCATTTTTGGGGATGTATAAAATCTTATTAATTTTTAAAAGTTTATAAGCCCAACTCAAGTCATTCAAGCATAAGTTTCTAGGATTTTTTTCCTTACCTCAATATACCCACAACCATGAGTTACAAACTTTAGAAACAAAAGGGAGTATTTGCTAGTTGGCGAGTACTCTGATTTTGGTGACCAAAAATAAGCAAATACTTTTGATAAATGAAATTCAGTGGAGTTCTGAGGAAAATCCTAAAAGCCAGAGCAAACTATTTAACCTTCACAGAAATAACCAAGTCAAGTTGAAAAAAGATACCAAAGTATTAGAGGCAGTAGTATAAGGGAGTAATAATCATTACTACATAAAGTCAGAACTTGTAACATGTCATTCATCTTGGTTCTTGAAAACATATCTTTTAAAAAAATTAAAATTTTCTTAAGGTACTAGAATTGAACCCAGGGGTGTGAGCATGCTAGGCAAATGATTTACCACTAAGCTACACTCCGAACTCAAATTTATTGATGAAAATACTGGAATTCCTCTAAAAATGTAGAAACACAGATGTCCAGGAATAAATGAGAAGCGTAACAGATGCTATAGACCAAAACAATCTTGTACTAGAGTATTGACTGATGCTAAGGCTAAAAAAAAAGTCCCTACTGCTATATAGGATTAAAAAGCAAAGCACCACAAAAAATGCATGGTGTGCAGAAAGGACATACTCTCTACAGCACTATGACCAAGGTAGATTTTCATACCCTTGATCTTAGCCAAAAGGCTGAGAAGACTTCTATGCAGAAAACAGCCATTTGAACACTGTCACTAGATTGGACAATGCTGGGTTCTTACCTAATGTATTCATTCTGAGGTCTGACTGATGTTCTTTTTCATCCACCCTCAGATCCACACTATATATAAAAATATAATATGCTATTGCTCCAAAATATTTATTTGGTTTTTGTTTTGTTTTTGGTGGGACTGGGGTTTGAACCCAGGGCTTCACGCTCACAAAGCAGGCACTCTACTCTTGTTATTTTGGAGCTGGGATCTCCCGAACAATTTGCGGGGATGGCCTCCGATCTCCATCCTCTCAATCTCAGTAGCTAGGATTACAGGCATGAGCCATGGAAGTCCGGCTGCTGCAAAATATTTAAATATCTGGTCTTGCAATTGAAAAAAAAGAAAAACCCTTCCAAATTCAAATACTTAACAGGCCTCCTTTGTAAAAATAGCAAGCTCACTTTGCATTTAAATTCACATGCTTGAGACAAAAGAATTTTTAAAATCAGATTCTTGAAACTGAGTTGAGAATGAAAACTCCAGCATCTCCATTGTCATCAGCATTCTACAAATATGTCACCTCCCTAAAAGGCTGAGAAACAAAAGTAATCACATTAATTTTCCGCACATAAAACTTTAAAGTGGTAGGAAAATATACTGGATCTTCAAGCACAATAACCAAAGACCTCCACAGAGGGTAGCTGCAAAGTCTGGACTTCACAATACTTGTTGTGGGCTGAGGCATACCTACTTTTTAAACCACATGATTTCATCAGGGTCTGCGATGCCATATTCCCTCATCTTTTTCACCATGATGGCACTTTTCTTGACAGCCACCTCATAACGCTGGCTGCGAGTGAGGAAGTTGTAGTCCTCATGCTGGAACTCTGGGTCGTTCAGAATCAGGTTCTCTGCAAGGAAGTGAAAAAGACATCAAGAGGAAGCCTAACACCTTCCCTGAACCACAGCAGGTTCCAAGGGCGGGCGATACACCCACAATCCCGCCCCAGGACGCCCATATTAGTGGGGGTCCATGTTCCCCCCAAGCCTCGCAGTGCCCCCAACTTCTTATGGGGGACAGGGGGCCGCTGGAGCCTTGCTGGGGAGGAGGGAGCGCTGGTCTTCCTCACTCACCGATCTCTCGGCGGCGCCGTGTGTTCTGGACGCTGCCATCCAAGATGTGAGTGACCAACTCTGGGTTGAAGGTGGCGGAAGCCCGCTCCTTGCGCAGGTCGGGGTTCATGGCGGCGGTCAGTGGCAACAAAAAAGGGGGAACGCAGCAGAAACGACAGTGACAACCGCTGTCCGCAGCTCCAGCTCGGGCTCAGCCCTAAAAGCAGTCCCAGGACAGCGCGAGCCCCCGCCCCGCTCGCCCGGGCCCGCCCCTTCTCTTTCACCGCCTCCCCTCCGCGCGTGACCCACTGCGGCCGTAGGGGGCGACACGTTGGAGGGAGGTGGCACCCGCGCCGGGGCCGCCCGCCGGGTGGACGAATCCCCTGGTCCTCGCCAGGGGAGTTCCCCGAGCGGCGTCTCGCCAAGGGCACACAGGTAGAAGGTCAAGAAATTGACCGGAGCGGGAGGGGGTGAGAGTGAGGTATTTTAGGGGTCACGCCCTTCCCGCATCACGTGACCGCCCCGGGCGGAAAGAAGGAATTGGAGGTCCGGCGACGCCGCAAACAGGTTGACTGGGGGACTCGGGGTGGGGGCGGGACAACGCGCCTGAGGAAGGAGTGCGCCTGCGCCGTAGGTCTCACCTGCCTCAAGGCTTCCGGGTCCGCGCGCTAAACCCTCCCCGGAAATAAGAGGGGGAGTGGGGTTCTTGGGCCCTGCAGGCATTACGAGGGATAATTGTAGGGTTTCTCTGAAGCCTCCCAGATTAGAGAAAAAAGCAATGGGGACAAAGGTCTCATTGGGAATAGGGTTCATTATCTTCTGTTAAGATAATAGCGTCTTTGATACCAGAGTTGTGGGCCTCGGGGTTCCCCGTTTATGGAGTGATCTTGGATTTAGAGTGAGATCGAGCTGGCTGTGCTGCTCTGAGACATCTGCCTTGGTTTTGAGACTTTTCGCCCTGAACTGGCAGTTCTGGGCTGGGGATATAGTTCACTTGTCCAGTGTGTGAGGCCCTGGGTTCAATCCCCAGCACCTGAGCAACAACAACTGGAAAACAAACAAGAACCCTGGCAGTTCTTAGAGCTCTTGGAGTCCAAACTTCAGTTTGCGTTATCAGTTCTCATCAAAGCGGAAAATGCCCACGTGCCCCAAAATTCTAGTATATGGGCTGGGCGTGGGGGGCATGGCTCAAGTGGTAGAGTGCCTGCCTGCCAAGCGTGAGGCCCTGAGCTCAGACCCCAGTACCATCAAAAAAGAGCACACGTCCTTTACCACTTCCTAATTTGTCCTTGTATGAACACATAACTTTCTTTTTCCAGTAACACTGGGTATAGTTAATAGTGAGGCTTTCACCTTGAATACGAAATTTAAGGGAGCACAAAAATATTATTTTGGTGCAATTTGTGTGTGGGGGGGTACTGAGGATGAACCCAGGGCTTGACACGTGCTAGGCAAGTGCTCTATCACTGAGCTACATCCTAGCCTGGCAATATTTTTAAAAATCAATGAAAAAAAAAAAAAACCTGCCATGAACAAAATACCAAGTTTTAATTAAAGACGATTATGATTGATTATTGTTTCTTTGATCTCAGGCTCCAATATGCTTGGGCAAGGCACTATTAATGAGGCTGTTAGTTTACTTATTGTTTTGGTGGTAGTGGGTTTTGAACTCAACTCTACCATTTAAGCCACACCCCCAGCCGCTAAAGCCTCTAAGATTTCATTTAGCCAGGTCACTGTGAACTTTATTTTTTATTCCTCTTATCAAAAGCTAGTGCTCCTATTCACAATAGCCAAGCTATGGAAACAGCCAAGATGCCCCAGCACTGACGAATGGATTAAGAAAATGTGGTATCTATACACAATGGAATTTTATGCAGCCATGAGAAGAATGAAATGTTATCATTCACTGGTAAATGGATGGAATTGGAGAACATCATTCTGAGTGAGGTTAGCCTGGCCCAAAAGACCAAAAATCGTATGTTCTCCCTCATATGTGGACATTAGATCAAGGGCAAATACAACAATGGGATTGGACTTTGAGCACATGATAAATCGAGAGCACACAGGGAGATATGAGGATAGGTAAGACACCGAAAAAACTAGATAGCATTTGTTGCCCTCAACGCAGAGAAACTAAAGCAGATACCTTAAAAGCAACTGAGACCAATAGGAGAAGGGGACCAGGAACTAGAGAAAAGGTTAGATCAAGAAGAATTAACTTAGAAGGTAACACACATGCGCAGGAAATCAATGTGAGTCAACTCCCTGTATAGCTATCCTTATCTCAACTAGCAAAAACCCTTGGTCCTTCCTATTATTGCTTATGCTCTCTCTTCAACAAAATTAGAGATAAGGGCAAAATAGTTTCTGCCAGGTAGTGAGGGGGTAAGGGGGGGGAGAGAGGGGTCGAGAGGGTAAGGGAGGGGGTGGGGGAATGTGGGGAGAAATGACCCAAACATTGTTAGCACATATGAATAAAATAAAAATTAAAAAAAAAAAAAGCTAGTGCTCTGCCTAGCAAGCATGAGGCCCTGGGTTTAAATCCCAGTACCCCACACTACCACCACCACCACCACCACAAAAAAAAGAAAAAAAGCTAGTGCTCAAATACAATCAACAAAAGCCATTTTAAAAATAAAACTGAGTTTATTGCTTACTGGATGAAAGGGAAATACTGTCAAAGCTTTGGCAGTGTTTCATAGAGTGAGGTCAGAATTTCAGTTCTGGATTTTAATTATGATTGGGTAAGAACCATAGTACAAATTGTTGGAAACAGCAAGGAGAGGGAATTCAAAGAATCTCGGGGGGAAAGCCAGGTGCTGATGACTCACACATGTAATCCTAGCTACTAAGGAGGCAGAGATCAAGAGGATTGCAGTTCGAAACCAGCCAGGGCAAATACTTCATGAAACCCTATCTCAAAAAACCTTTCACAAAAATAAGATTGGTGGAGTGGCTCAAGGTGAAGGCCTTGAGTTCAAGCCCCAGCACCACAAAAAAAAAAAAAATCTCAAAGGGAAAACTGGCTGTTGATGTTCAAACCCTTTGCCTGGGTAGAAATTCCATGTAACATTGCTGGCCATATTTTGTAAAGACTTTCAGTTCTTGTAGTTACAATGGAAAGTCTTTCATACATTTTCAATAGGGAGTTATATGATATGACAATCAAAATGACATTTTTAAACTTGTGTAAAAGTAAAGGAATGATACATGAACTCCCTATATACTCCTCACTTGGTTTCAAAAATTATCAACCATATCTTCACCCACACTCCCCAACATTAATTTTAAACAATTCCCTTACAATATCACTCATAAATATTTTCAGTATGTATCTCCAAGCTAATTCTAAAATCTTCATACTGTAATTACACTTGGGCTATTAACAGAAGTTCCTTTATATCACTGTAAATCCAATCTGTTTCCCTGATTGTTTCATTAACAAAATGTTCTAAGCCAGACCCTGGTGGCTCACCCCTGTAATCCTAGCTACTTGAGAGGCTGAGATCCGAGGAGGATCATGGTTTGAGGCCAGCCCGGGCAAAAAAAAAAAAAGGTTGTGAGAACCCATCTCAAACAATAGCTGGCACAGTGGTGCTTACCTTTCATCCCAATTATGACAAGAGACTAAACTAGAAGGATCAAGGTCCAGGCCAGCTTGAGCAAAAAGTGAGACCCTAGCTCCAAAATAACCAGAGTGAAAAGGGCTGGAGGCATGGCTCACGTGGTAGAGTATGAGTTCAAGGCTCTGAGTTCAAACCTCAGTACTGCACCTTCCCCTTCCTCCCCGCCAAAAAAAAAAAAAAAAAACGGAAAGGAAAGGTTCTATGATCCAGGTGTTGTATGAACGCCTATGATCTCAGTACTCAGGAGTCACTTGTGCTAAAGTCACCAAATAAGGACTAAGCTGTTAGATCTGAGAATCTGAAAAATCAGAAGAAAGGTAACAATCAGCATGCTTTATTCCTTACAGTCCTTAATCCTTTAGTTTTTACCAAAGTAACCTGAAGTGACCTGGTGTTAGCCAGTTATTTTTCTATTGTTCTACCTCCCTAATCCCTATTTTCTAAGGCAATCACTTTTCATTCCTTATTTCTGTCTTTTTAGCCCTACTCTTATCTGTAAAACTAGCCTCTTCTGCTCAGTCCATCAGAACATTTACTCCATTTTATGGAGGAAGTGTTACCTGAGTTAGAATTGAAAAGAAAGTCAACTGAAATCTTTAAACTGAATGGCAGTTTTGTCCTTTGCCACTCTGAATGTAGTGCTGGCAGTGAGTGTACTCAGCATGAAGTACATGGTGAAATATTTTCTTAGATGATGACATGAAATTGGTGACATATTTTCTCAGATGAAGACACAAACTTGGTGAAATATTTTCAAATATATACGAGGATTTGCAAGAATAGCACAAAGAAGCAATACACCTTTCACCTAGATTCGCTAGTTAACATTTTGCCACAGTTCCTTTATCTGTCTCCTGCAGTCAGCTCTGTTTACTTGCTTTTTATTTTCGAACCATTTGGGAAAACATTGCAGAAGTCCTCCTTTACTTATAAATTCTTTGGTGTATATTCCCTAAAAATCAGGACATTTGCAGGATGATTACCCATGAAGACAATTTAACATTGGTGTAACGCTAGACTCTGCATTTCTTTTGCAGTTATCCAGTAATGTCCTTTACCACAATTTTTCTCCTGGTCTAAAATCCAGTCAATGACATTGGTGATATTAGTTTCACAGGCTCTTGTTACAAAGTGCCACAAACCAGGTGGCTTAACCGCGTAAATTTATTGTCTCAGTTCTGGAGAGCAGAAGTCTAAGCTTAAGATGACCACATCCAGGCATGGTGCTGCACTTGGGAGGCTAAGGCAGGAGGGTTTTGACTTTGAGGCAGTCCTGGGCTATACAGCCCATCCCTGTCCTGTTCTCTACCCTCCCCCAAAAAAGTCCACAGGGTTGACTCCTTGAAAGGCTGAGAGAGAATCTGTTCCCACCTAGCTGGCGATTGTTGGTGTCCCTTGGCTTAGATTCACATCACCCAAGTCTGCCTTTATCTTCACATGACCTTCTCCCTGAGTCATGTCTGTTTCTGTCCAGATTTCCTCATTTATTTATTTATTTGGTGGGACTGGGGTTTGAACTCAGGGCTTCGTACTTGCATAGCAGGCACTCTACTGCTTGAGCAATCCATTTTGCTCTGGTTATTTTGGGGATGGGGGGGTCTCACAAATTATTTTGCCGGATGGCCTTGAATCACGATCCTCCCAATCTCAACCTCCCAAGTAGCTAGGATTAGGGGCTGGCTGAGTAGCTCAAGTGGTAGAGCACCTGCCTACCAAGCATGAGGCCCCAAGTTTGAGCCACCAAGTGTTGGAACCTCACGCTTACTTAGCAAGTATTCTACCACCAGGCTGTACCCACAATCCTACCTGGTATTTTTAGAATCCATTCATGGTTCATCCAGGAATCCATTTCTATTCTGTTGGTTTCAAAACTGTTAAAGTCGTAGTAAAAATAATCCTTTAATTTGGTTAGTACAAAATTCATTTCGCTGGGATTACATTTACTATTTGTAATAATCCCCATAAAATGGAAGTAAAAAAAAATATGTGGATGGGAACACCCAACATGATGGCACATGCCTCTAATCCCAGCATTTAGGAGGTGGAGGCAGGAGGATGGCAAATTTGAGGTCAGCCTGGGCTACATAGTGGGGCCATCTCAAAGAACAAAACAAAACAAAACAAAGGGAAAAAATGTTGTGCTTGTTTGAAATGGGATGATTAGGGGAATTGGCTCAGGCTATGGTAGCTGCAAAGTCCCTCAACAGGTCAGACGTAGGCTAGAGGTCCTTGGGAAGCTGATCTTTTGAGGCTAAAGTTCAAAACATGGTATACACAGAGACTTAATGCTAAGGATTCATTGTGCAACATAGGCCAACAACGAATTACAATTTTTAAAAAATTAATGAATTTAAAACTTATGAACATCAAAGTAAATATCACAAAGGTAAAAGTTTTAAAAAGAGAGAAAAACCTTACAAACGTGTGTAGCCCCAGAGTTAATCCTACTATATGATAATCTTTAAAATAAACATAAATGCAGTGACAAATATGTGGACAGCTTAGCTTATAATATAGATGGTACTTGAGATTGGCAAAACCACTTTTTGTCATTATTGTTGTTTACTCTTTTTCATTTTAGCCTGTCCCTTAGGACAGGAGTTGTTTGTTCTTTTGAGACAGAGTTTCAATGTGTAGCTTCAGGCTGGCCTTGAACTCATGGTCTTCCTGCTTCCACTTCCCAAGTGCTGGGATTAAAGGCATGTCCCACCACACTTGGCTTGCATATAAGAAGATTCTGAACTTCCAGCTTTTTGCTGCACTGAATAGGCTTGTCCCCCATCATCCCAAACAGGGACTACTACTTTTTTCCCCCTTTGGTCATTTCTTTTTTGTTTCCTTTTGCTTTTTGCTTTTCTGTCATGCTAAAGAGGATTAGGGGCTCTTTCATTTTGGGTGACAGAGACAGCTCTGCTTCCTGGCCACAGTGATGACAGACATGACATCTGCATTTAGGCTCAGTTGTTCCTGAGCCACCAAGGTCAAACCCGTTCTTGGCATGCTGCCCACTGTCTGTCATCCATTGACCTGCAGTGCTGCCCAGGGATCTCTTCCCTGGAAGATAATAAAGCCAATTATTTGAGATTGCAGTGTATGATCAACTTCTGGTGTAAGGTTGCCATGTCAGTTGTCTGCAGAGATCTTAGAATTATTTACCTTTTATCTTTGTTGCTATCTCTAATTACTTGTTCTATCAAGAAATAGTTACAGGGCTGGGGAGGTGGCTCAAGTGGTAGAGCGCCTGCCAAGCAACCTGGACGCCCTGAGTGCAGTCCTCTGTACCACAAAAAAAAAAAAAAAAGAAAAAGAAAAAGAGTTGTAGTTGAAGAGCTGGGTGTGGTGGCGCATCTGTAATTCTCAGAAGGCTAAGGCAGGAGGATTGTAAATTTGAGGCCAGCCTGGACTATGTATTGATATTGAAACCCTGTCTCAAAAAGAAAAAGCAAGAAAATAAAATTGTTATGGATTAAGTTAGAGAATATTTGGGGGCCATTACTCAAAAAAGTAGAGGACTTCTTTTTATTTATCTGTTATTATTATTATTATTGCAGTGCAGAGGATTGACCTCAAGGGTTACACCCCCTAGCCTTATATCTTTATTTATTTATTTATTTATTTTTTGCAGAATTGGGGTTTGAACTCAGGACTCCCACTTGCTAGGCAGATGCTCTCCCACTTAAGCCACGCCACCATCCCTTAAACTTATTTATTTTTTTTTATTTGCGGTGCTGAGGAAAGAAGAGGGCTTTCACAGTGGCTTTATATAGGACACTCTTGTGGTGTGCTGGCCTTATGTTTCAATACATTAAGCGTGTCAGGGTGCCCCAGCAGAGTGTGGGAAGTACAGTTGTGCCTTACTTTGGCTCTGCTTCTTTCTTATTCATTTATTTTTTGGTGGTGCTGGGGAATGAAACTAGGGCTTTGTGTTCCACCCCTTAACTTACTCCCCTCTAACCCTTTCATTTATTTTTATTTTTTTATTTTTGAAATAGGTTCTTGCCCTGGCTGGCCTCAGACTCTCCATTCTTCTGCTTCCAGGTTTTTGTTGTTCTTCTTGTTGTTTTGGATTTTATTTGTTTGTTTCTTTTTTTTTTTTCCTAACACATCGTAGGAAAAGCGAGTGGCAGCTGCAGGTGTTGTGGTGACCTGAGCTGTCGAAGTCTCTCCAGGTTGCTTTTATATATAGTTGTTGTTTTGTTTGTTGATTCAGTGTCTTATTCTGTAGCCCAGGCTGTCCTTGAATTTGAGATCCTCCTGCCTCAGCCTCCTGAGTGCCTGGGATTACAGGTGTGTGTGCCCCTGATGGCTGGCTTGGCTCTGCTTCTTGGCAGGTGGCTGCTTGGCATATAGTTTTCATGAAAGACAGGTGGAAAGTATTGATTGTGACAAATGTACCATTGTAAGCTGTTACAAACAGGAGAAGCTGAGTGGGTTGGATACAGGAATTCTCTGCACCATCTTTGTAATTTTTTTTTTTCAGTGCATGGGATCAAACCCAGCACCTGATGCATACTTAGGCAGCAAATTTGTGTGTGTGTGTGTGTGTGTGTGTGTGTGTGTGTGACTGGAGTTTGAACTCAGGGCTTCACGCTTGCAAAGCAGGCTCTCTACCACTTGAGCCACACCTCCAGTCCATTTTGCTCTGGTTGTTTTGGGGATGGGGCTCTCGTGAGCTATTTGCCCAGGCTGGCCTTGAACCGAAATCCTTCCGATGTCAGCCTTCCAAATAGGTATGAACATCAGCTCTCAGCTCTAGGCAGCAAATTTTTAATAAATCTAAAACTATTCTAAAATAAAGAGTTTATTTAAAACAAGTAAGTGTGAGGCCCAGACTTCAAACCCCAGTACCACCAAAAAGAAATATTTATTTTAAAGCAAATGAAGAATCTGTAATGTACAACTATGTGACAGTGTAGAAATCTTTTAAGTGATAAAGCAAGATGTAGAAAGGCCACTGGCCTGCAAGATTCAGAGCAAGTGTGTTCTCTTCCTTGTTAAGGGAGAGAGAAAGGAATACATACTCATATTTGGTTTTGTTTGCATAAAGATACACTGGAAGGATATAGAGGAAATTAATTGGAACGGTTTCCTTTAGGTCAGAGGATGGCAACCTTCAGCATGGGTCAACTTCAGCTTGCCACGTTTTTGTGAATAGAGGTTGATTGGAACAAGTCAGGCTCATATATTTGTGTATTATTTATGGCTATTTTCAACTGTAACGGCAGAGTTGAAAAGTTAAAGCACAGATCCTGTGGCACACAAAACCAAGAATGGGTAATATCTGCTCCTTTACAGACCCTGCTTAACTGAATTGGTGGGGAGTGGATTGCATTGAGCTGGGAGTGAGAATGAATGACACATCTCCACATAGCTCGTGTGTGTGTGTGTGTGTGTGTGTGAATTCATAACCTATCCAAAATTTTTTATTTTTATAACCCTCCCAACTGAAACTAGTCTTCCAGATGTGGCTATTCTCATGTGTCTCCTGATCTTCTGTCCTGTGGTCTGCTTGGTTTATCAGGAATCTTCCAAAATCCATCCCAGCTGTTTGGTTACAGGTGCCAAGAATGCTGCCTAAGCCTGGGATCTGTTACCTCCCCTGGGAGGTCAGTGCTGGACAGGTCCCTGATGGGGATGCACTCCGAACATTCGGCAGGTAAGAGTGGCTCTTTCCACTTGGGGTGTGTGGGAGGGGACTGTTTAAATAGCCCCACTCAAAAAAATTAAAATAGTTTTATTAAAATGTAATCCAATTGTGAAAAAATGCTAAAAACTAATGTACATGGCTTATTTTTAAAAATACAGACAATTCACAACAGAGTAAAGAAAGAAAACAATCTCATTCTCTCGACAACCACTGCTAATGTTTTGTGGTTACCTTTATGTACTTTTATATATAATATATACTGTGTTTATACTTCCAAATTTAGTGCCTTAAAATGACAATAAATGTTTATCATCTCACAGGAATTTGGGGACAGCTTAACAGCTTTATTAGGTGGTTCTGGCTCAAGGTGTCAGGTGAAGTCAAAGACAAGATGTCCAACAGAGGGCTGGAGGCATTGCTTAAGCAGTAGAGCACCTGCTAGCAAGCAGGAAGCCCCGAGTTCAATCCCCAGTAACAAAAAAAAAAGATGCCTGCCAGGACTGTGGTTATCCAGAGGCTTATCTGGGACTGGTGGATCTGCTTCCAAGGTGACTCATTGACATGGTTGGAGAATTAGCACTGGCTGTTTGTATGACGACTCAGCCTTTCTTCATAGTTCTGTGTGAAGGTCCTTCTGCCACGGCAGCTTCTCCCAGAATGAGGGCTCCAAGAGACAGAACAGGTACAAGTCACAGTGTGTTTCAGGCCCTAGCTTCAGAAGTCACTCTTGGGCATTCCACAGCATCACTCTGGTCAGCCCTCTTGAGTAGGGTAAGGCACTGCACTCAGAAGTGGTCACCAGGACATACGAATCATAGGGGAGCATCTTGCAGACATATATGCACACACACGAGGAAATATTTTAATCTATGTGAGCCTATTGTATTACCATCTTGTTCCATTTATTTTCTTACTTAACTATGTATCGTAGGCTGGACTGGTGGCCCACACCTGTAATCCTAGCTACTCAGGAAACAGAGATCAGGAGAATCGAGGTTCGAAACCAGCTAGGGCAAATAGTTCTCAAGACCCTATCTCAAAAAAAAAAACCTTCACAAAAAGGGGTGGTAGAGTGGCTCACAGTGTAGGCCTTGAGTTCAACCACAGAAAACAAAACAACTATGTGTCGTAGAACCACTTCCATGCCAAATGGACAGACACACACGATCAGAGTTTTGTTTTTGAAATGGGGTCTTCCTATGTAGTCCAGGTTGGCCTGGAACTCATGATCTTCCTGCCTCAGCCTCTCAAGTGCTGGGATTACAGGCGTGAACTATCACTTTTTTTAATAGGCCCATTTTGTGAATGAATCTGCAGAGGCTTTTTTAACAGTTCACTTGTGTGTAGATAAACAGTTATATACTGTATAACGTTTGGTTCATCAGCCAGCTGCACATATGATAATGGGCCTGAAAAATTTTTACAGTATTCTTTCTATGTCTACATATATTTAGATACCAAATGCTTGCTGTTGTGCCAAACTGTGTAAGTATTTAGTATAGTAATGGTATAGTACAGTTTGTAGCCTGGGAACAATAGGCTATGCCATATAGCGTAAATGGATTGCAGTTCAAAGCCAGTTCCAAAGCTAGATGGCTGTTTAGCCATCTAGGTTTGTATTGGTGTACTCTATAATGTTTGCACAATGATGAAATCACCCAGGGGCTCATTTCTCAGAACGTCTGCTGGTTGGTAAATGATGCATGACTGGGCCATAATTTATTTAACCATTTCTGTATTGATTTTTTTACATGGGTATCATCTTTTTGTGTGTGGAAATGTGTTTGAACTCTGGGCCTACACCTTGAGCCACTCCGCCAGTCCTTTTTTGTGGTGGGTTTTTTTGAGATAGTGGCTCACGATCTACTTTCCCAGGCTGGCTTTGAACCATGATCCTCCTGATCTCTGCCTCCTGAGTAGTTAGGGTTACAGGCATGATCTACCAATGCCTGGCTTTTTTTTTTTTTTTTTAAGCAGAGTTTCACTATGTAGTCCAAGACGACCTCCCACTCACAATCCTCCTGCCTCAGCTTCCTGATTGCTAGTATTATATGTGTGCATCACCATACCTGGCCTCTCTATTAATTTTTGACAAAGATATCAGTGTAATTCAGTGGAGAAAGGATAATATTTCAGCAAATAGTGCTTAAACTACTAGTATTCTTATAGGGGGAAAACACCTTGGCTCCTACCTCACTCATGCAAAAAATAATAATTTGTACTGGATCTCAGATATCCAAGCTAAAACTCTGTCTCATCCAGAAATAAAAAGGAAGGTAATTTCGTAATCTTACAATTGGCACATCTCTTAGCCTAAGACACAGAAATTGAAAGACACACAAGAAAAATGAATGCATGGAACATCAGCAAAATGCTTCTGTTCATTAAATGATACCATTTGCTGATGGAGTGGCTCAAGCAGTAAGAATGACTGCCTAGCAAGTGTGAAGCCCTGAGTTCAAACCCCAGTGCTGCCAAAATACAAACAAACAAACAAATTCCTGGTGGCTCACACCTGCAATCCTAGCTACTCAAGAGGCAGAGAGATCAGGAGGATCACAGTTTGAAGCCAGCCCAGGCAAATAATTTGTGAGACCCTATCTTGAAAAAACCTATCACAAAAAAAGGCTGGTGGAGTGGCTCAAAGTGTAGGCCCTGAGTTCAAACGTCAGTACCACACACACGCAAAACAAGGCCATTAAGGGGAAGAAAATCAAAAGGCAATCATTTCTCAGTCTACAGCGTAGTCTGAAAACATTTGTCCTGATTTTTTGCTTCTGTTTTTATTTCTCAGAATAGACTCAGGCCGATCATGGATTTCCAGGGGTTTATTGGCTTCCCAAAACCTTTGAGCTTGATGGTGGTTCTGTGTGTGGGCAGAAGATTGCCATATCATTTCCCTTTCCCTCCAGATTGTACCTCTACGACATGACGCAGTCTCGAGTGACTCTGACGGCACAGCACGGATCTGATCAGCACCAGGTGCTTGTCTGCACCAAGCTGGTGGAGCCATTCCAGGCCCAGGTGGGCTCCCTGTACATGGTCCTTGGGGAGCTTGAGCACCAGGAGGGTAAGCCGAGCCTCATACATCCTGGCTGTCTCTGGGTCATCTTTTGGGTAACTCATGAATTAGGAATGGGCCTGGTTTTGTGAGCCAAACCAGGTGTCCTTTACTGAGCTTAACATTGCTTCCAAATTGATCCACAAAGTCAAGAACTCCTGGCAAACAGGTGTGATTTGGACCCAGAGTGACTGGCCAAAGAGACTGATAGTGAAGATGTGATCATCATGGAAAAGAAAAAGGAGAGAGAAGCCACAAATTTCTAAAGAACTATTATTTGCACATTCCTAGTGTGAGGTGGTTGACTTAGATCTTTTTTAATTTGCCCACACGCCCTTTATCTGCATCTTATTGTTATTTCATGAATGAGAAAAGCAAGACTTAGAGAGGATGGGGCTATAATAATAGGCCAGGAAGTCGGGAAAAGGGAAACAAAATGCTAGAGAAGGAATAAATGTAGACTAGAAAAAGCTCTCTGACATCAAGAGTTGAAGGTTGGAGTGTAGCTCAGTGGTAGAGCACTTGTCCAGCATGCATGAGGCCCTAGACTCCATCCCCCACTGAAAAAAGAGAGAGAGAGAGAGAGAGAGAGAGAGAAAGTTGAAGATACTCTTTGCCTCTCTTTGTGACTGACCTTGTAAGATGCCACAGAGCCTTTGAGGTCAGTAGCTTTTTTCTGCTCCCATGAGGTTTATCTCTGTTATTTTTGTGTGTCTGTTTTTTCTCTTCTTCAAGCTTTTCTTTCCCCCACCCCAGTATAATGCTCATTGTAGAGAATTTTAAAAGTGTAAAGAAGCAGAAAAAGTCACCTGTCATTCTTCTCCGAGGCATTCACTATTACTGTTTTGGCATGTTACCTTCCAGTACTTGTTCTGTTTTTTTTGTTTGTTTGTTTTGTTTTTTTTTTCAGTACTGGGGTTTGAACTCAGGACCTCACACTTGCTAGGTAGGTGCTCTATCCCTTGAGCCACTCCACCAACCCTTTTTTGTGTTGGGTATTTTCGATAGGGTCTCTCAATCTATTTGCCTGGACTGGCTTTGAACTGTGATCCTCCTGATCTCTACCTCCTGAGGAGCTAGGATCACAAGCATGAGCCACCAGCACCCAACTGTTTACCATTTTTTAATTTAATTTTTTTGTTGGGTTGCAGATCATCTCAAAGGCCTTGTATATGCTAGGCAAGCTCTACCACTGAGCCAAACCCCTAGCCCAAAAGTCAACAGTTTTTATAAGCCCCGATGAATAACAAATCCAGGCAACAATCATTGCTGGCTGCTGCTATCATTAGATAAAAGATTGATGAAAAGGTTGTCATGAAGGGAGCGGCCCGATCAATCTAAACATTACAAAGAGTGGAACGATCAGACTTCTTATGCTTCCCATGTGATGCATGAAGAAGGCACAAACAGCACCATGTCTGAAGTGTTCCTGCAAAACAACAAAAACAGAACCTGAACCTGAACCTAATGAAGATCAGACAAAGCAGCCACTGGCTCGATGACTGTGTCTCATTATTTACATCCCAAACTGTCTGTTTGGGAGTTTTTCTCCGGAGATACTTTCTTTTGATTTTCTGTGTAATACAGCACACCTTTCACAGCCGGCATGACAAAATAGAGAGGATGAGGATGGTGGGAACTGTGAGAGCCAAGCGTGGCCATGGCGGTCCTGATCCTCACCTGGGCAGGCTGCACAGTGGCTTCTTTCACAAGGATCAATCAGACGTGGATCCTGCCCTGTGCCCAGGTCAACAGATCCGAGGAAAAAGGAGAGGCCATCTAAAGTCACCTCTCTGACATTTTCACATCAAGAGCTAGCTCAGAGACAGAAAAGGCAAAGTAACACCAGCCTCGGATAAATTCTGTGGGTACCGTCTACAGGCTCAGACACTTCCTGCCCAGAGATGGAGGTGTGGGGCATACTTTTCCCCAATCTGAAGGTTTCTCTTTTTTTTAATATTTAAAAAATTGACACGTGGTTATTGTACATATTTATGGGGTACAGTGTATACAATGTGCAATGATCAGATCAGAATAAGTGGCTGGTCTACCACCTCAAATGTGTGTGATTTCTTTGTGTTGGGAACATTCAAAATCTTCTCTGTTAGCTATTTTGCAATATGCATTTAATTGTCCTCAATCATGGTCATGCTGCTTTGGTGTAGAATACTAGGAGTCATTCTTTCTACCATCTGGACCTGTTCTCCTTAGTGAAGGAGCAGGTGACTTGGTGGCAGCAGGTGGCTTCCTCCAGCTGGTGTCATAAATCCACAGTATTCTTGTTTTCTTCCCTCTCACACCTGTATCCTGCTTGGTCTTGGAAACCTTCCTATAGTGTCCTCTGGTGTATTTGTGCCATCCTTATCTCTTTGAGATTTCTCAAAAGCTGGCCTCCTCTCTCTTCCCCCCCGCCCCCACCATGGGCCAACTGGGCCTGCTTAAGCTCCCACGCCACACACCCCGCCACACCCAGAGGTAGGGCCAGGATCCTCCTGTTCCTCAGGTGTGTCATGGCATACCTGTCTTCCTCCCCCTGCTGCCAACCGGTTACACCACCTTTCATCTCTGCTCTGCTTCTGCCTTCCACACCCACCCCGGACCTTGGACCTGGTCTTTCCAGAACCGCCCGCCTCTGCTGCTGAAACTTTGCTCTCAGTATTGGCCTACCCTTTCTTTTACCCTTCTTGCACTACATCCTTCTTCTGCCCTGTTGGTGCTTGTGGACTTAGGACACCTGGGTTTGCTCTCACATTTTCTCCCCCCACCACCGGCTGGGCCTCAAGTACCATTTCAGCCACTTTCATGGTAGAGGGCTCTGCCCTTCTATCCTTCCTGCTTCTGTTCTGTCTGGTCACACTGGCTGATAAATGCAGAAAGATCACAAAGCTCTGTGATGTTGGAACACAGAAATGTTAGCGTCTCTTTTCTGGGCCCTTCTACACTGCCTGGAAGTCCTTGCATATGTCCTGGTCAGTCCCCTCCCAGGCTCCATGACACCTATTCAAGCATTCACCTGCTATATAAACCCTCTACTTCCTCACCTCCCTGTCCTGCTCAGAAATTTCCCTCACCTCTTTTTTTAATCTCCACTTACTCTTTTGTGTGTGTGTGTGTGTGTGGTGGTGAAGATTGAACCCAGGGCCTTGCACATACTAGGCTAGCACTCTACCACTGAGCTACGTCTCCAGCATTACTTATTTTTTTGAGATGGGATCTCTCTGTGTTACACAGGCTGATCTCAAATTTCTGAACTCAAGAGATCATCCTGCCGCAGCCTCCCCAGTGCTGGGATTACCATTGCATGCCTGCCTTATCTCACGAATTACACCCCAGTTAAAACTGGGACCACAGGCAGCACTCCCTCCGCCTCAAAAATGATATATACCCACACCTGTCCTTAGCTCCTCCCCTGCAGACTAAGAAGAGGGCTCCCTCCTACCTAAGGGCACCGACAGGTTCCTGTCCAAGTACCACTCTAATAAAGCCAATAAGAAGTCATCCACTGGGCACTGGTGGCTCACACCTGTAATCCCTGCTACTCAGAAGGCAGAGATTAGGAGGATTGAAGTTTGAGGCCAACACAGTAGTACTGAGATTTGAATTTAGGGTTTTGTGTTTGCTAGGCAGGGACTCTACCACTTGAGCCACTCCGCCAGCCCAGTATCTTTTTGGTTTGATGTCACCTGAACATTGATGTTATTTATCAGGTCACCACTGCATCCAGTAGAAGCTGCCCCCCCCAACTCTTCATCCAGGGTGGGATGACTTTCCCCTATAAGGCCAAGTTCATCTGGAACTCAGCCCCTTGGGTTTACTGAATATGGGTCTATATCCTGATTTCCCAGAAGACATCCTAAGATGCCAAAGGGGCCGTTCCCACAAAGAGCCTCCTCAACCCTGGGCACTCAGAACCTAAGGAGGGGGCTTGGGGTGTGGCTCACATGGTAGAGTTCCTGCCTAGCAAACTCAGGGCCCTGAGTTCAAACCCTAGTATTGCCAAACCAATCACCAGCCAGTAGCAGAACAGACCTCCTGTCCCCTACCAGCTACGTGCTGCAAGCAGCATTTAGATGATTTCAGAGGGGTAGTTTTAGGAACTAGCACTGCCTTCTTTAGGGGAAAAAAAAAGAATCTAAGGAGGCAAAAGGATAAGATGGCAAAAGTATGAAATAGAGGTACGTGTTCCAGCCACCCCCCCCCCCCGGTAAAGTGGGGATGTTCAGATTGCCCTTTTTACTGGGACTTGATCTTAGGACCTTATTCTTGCCAGGCAAGTGCTCTACCACTTGGGCCACACCCCCAGTCCTTTTTGCTTTAGGTATTTCTTGAATAGGATGTTGCATTTAACTAGGACCGTGTTCCTCCTATGTCTGCTTCCCAGGTAGCTGAGATGCACATCACCACACCCCAGCTTTTTATTGGTTGAGATGGGGACTTACTCAAACTTTTTGCCCTGGCTGGCTTTGAATTGTGATCCTCCCGATCTCTGTCTCCTGAGTGGCTAGGATTACAGGTGTAAGCTACCATGCCTGGCTTCAAGCTGCTTTCTAAGTTCTCGACGTGCTGCACTGCATGGCAGGCTCACAGTTCTGAACGCAAGAGGACAAATTGCCAATACCTCTTGTGCTACCATCTTGCCTCCACCCTTGGCTGCCAACACTCAGTACCAAGCAAGTTGGTGAAACATCCAGAAGCATTGGCAGAGTGAGTTGCTGCTGTTGCTAGTATCTTGGCTTTTGTGTCTTTCAGATGGAGGTTCCGTGGTGAAGGCCCGGGTGCTGACCTGTGTGGAGGGAATGAATCTGCCCTTGTTAGAACGAGCCATCCAGGAGCAGAGACTGTACCAGCAAGAGAGGGACAGCAGCCACTAGGAAACACCAACCTAACCCCCCTAACCCCCGCCCCCCCCACCCCACACCTGCTCCTGAGCCCAGACTCCCTGGAGCCATTGCAGAGTGTAGGCACTTCCCCAAGTGACAGTCTTTGTCTGGGACCAGAAAGGAGAGGGACAGGGTTGTTAATCCAGCCCCTTCCCAGAATTTGAGATTGTTCCAGATATGACAGAGTAGGTATCAAGGTGTGATATGCCCTCTTTCCTGGAGGCTACAGGCAGCGAGCTCCAGACCCCTGGTGTGGGGTCTTGGAGGGTTCAGAAAGTCCTCATGAAGCCAGGTGCTGGTGACGCACACCTGTAATCCTAGCTACTCAGGAGGCAGAAGTCAGGAGAATCTCAGTTCGAAGCCAGCCCAGGCAGAATAGTTCGAAAGACTCTTAACCTTGGGAAAAAAAAAGAAAAAAAACCACAAAAAAGGACTAGTGGAGTGACTCAAGGTGTAGGCCCTGAGTTCAAACCCCAGTACCGCAATATAAATAAATAAATAAAATAAAAATAAAAACCTCCTCAAGAATAAAGGCCCAGTGGGCGTGACCTCGCCTCGTGTGCATGTGGCGCAGCGCCAGCCTGGGCCAGGAGGGGGAGCCACGGGGCAGGCAGCCCACCTGACTGAGGCCGCAGCCTGCTCAGGAGTTGTGGTGAATTCTGGGCTGGGAGCCTGAGGGGAGGACGCTGGGGACCTCGTGAGAGTGCTGGGGGCGGCTTAGAACCCAAAAGGACCACCGTTGCTGAAGTTTTGCCTTCAGAGGAGGCGTAGCATCGTCAAACAGGCCAAGGCCTGACCCTGTGGCCTAGGGCAAGAGTGTGGCATCTGAAGCCCCTCCCTACCCCTGACCTCTGCCTTGGCTGTCACCCACCCCTGTGAGCCCCTCTGGGCAGTCGTACACCCTCAGAGCCTGGCCTTGCCCGGCCGAGGCGGGAGCTTGGGCAGAAGTTTGGGCCCTCCGGCATTCCGTAGCTGACCCGTGGCCACCAGGCCTGGGGCAGGGCCGGGGGCTGGGCAGGGGACAGCTGGGGTCCAGAGCCAGCTTCCCAAGCAGGATGGGCTGTGGGCAGGGGGGGCAGAGAGCTGGGCAGCCTGGCCGGGGGCTGGGCAGGGTGTTACACAGAGACTGGAGCAGGGCAGCAGGGGTGCTGCGTGTGGGACACGAATGCCCCGGCACCATCTGTTTCCCCGGCAGCTCTGCGGACATGGATTTGTTCCAGAAGGTAGAGAAGATTGGAGAGGGCACCTATGGGGTAGTGTATAAGGCCAAGAACAAGGAGACCGGGCAGCTCGTGGCTCTCAAGAAGATCAGGCTGGATTTGTGAGTGCTTCTCCATCCTGGGGCAAACCACACCCTTTGAGTTCCCGGTTCATCCTCTCATCTGAAGCGTTGACACTTGACCTCTTCTCCCAGGTGCTGCCCAGTTACACCGGGCAGCCACATAGGTGTGGCCCTCACCTGTCCTTGCCCCTGCTCCCTGTCCCGAGCAGCCTTAGCCGTGGGCCTTGCTCTGTGGAGTACGTGCCAAGGAGCATTGGGCCCCCATCTTGGACAGGCCACCGTATAGGAACGAGGATCACAGAAGTGAATCTTGGGCCCGTGCGCACTGCTGCTGTTCCCTCTTTTCCTACAGGGAGACCGAGGGGGTCCCCAGCACTGCCATCAGAGAGATCTCCTTGCTCAAAGAACTGAAGCACCCCAATATCGTCAAGTGAGCTGGGAAAGGAAGTGGGGGAGGCTGGGGCTCAGAATAGCACATCCTGACGGGTATCTCCCTGCCAGGCTCTTGGACGTGGTACACAGAGAGAAGAAGCTGTACTTGGTGTTCGAGTTCCTCAGTCAAGACCTGAAGAAGTACATTGACTCCACCCCGGCCTCAGAGCTCCCCCTGCATTTAGTCAAGGTGCTGAGGGAAGGGCGAGTAGGCAAGGGGACACCCCACCCAGCCCCTGCCAGACACTTCTGCTTAGCAGCTACCCTCTGGCTCATTTCTGCAGAGCTACCTCTTCCAACTGCTGCAGGGGGTGAATTTCTGCCACTCTCATCGGGTCATCCATCGTGACCTGAAGCCCCAGAATCTGCTTATTAATGAGTTTGGAACCATCAAGCTGGCTGACTTTGGACTGGCTCGAGCCTTCGGGGTGCCCCTACGAACCTATACCCATGAGGTACTGCAGGACGGGGGAGAGAAGAGCAGCCAATGTCTTCCCCACCCCCACCCCGCTGTGTACTCAAGCCACCCTGAATGACGCTGTTTCTTTCTTGCCCCTATAGGTGGTGACACTGTGGTATCGCGCCCCTGAGATCCTCTTGGGCTGCAAGTTTTATTCGACGGCTGTGGACATCTGGAGCATTGGTTGCATCTTTGCAGAGATGGTAGAGAGGGGACAGGCTGGGCTGGGGGTGTATCTCAGTGGTAGAGCTCTTGCCTAAGCCTGCTCAAGGCCTTGGGTTTGATCCCCAACACTGCAAAAAGCCGAAATGGAAAAGAGCCTTTCAGCCAGGCATGGTGGTACATGCCTGAAATCCCAGCTATGTAGAAGGCATAAGTAGGAATACTACAGTCTTAAAAAAAGAGAGGGAGGGTGGAGCAAAGTATGGCCCCAGGAAAGCCATAAGGAGGACCTGCTGGGGAAGCTCATTGATACTTCTGTTAGAGGTGGGTCGAGGGGTGTCTGGGACTGGCTGAAGGACTGGGGAGCCAGCCGTATTCCAGAAAAGACTAGAATTCTAAGCACAACCCTGGGAAAGATATCCTGAAGATTGCTCCCTTGTTCTGGCCACTTGTATAGACTTACCCTTTTTTTTTTTTTTTTTTTTTCCACTATTGGGGTTTGAATTTTAGGGCCTCGCTCTTGCAAGCACTCTACCACTCGAGCCAACCCTCAGTCCTTTTTGCTTTAGTTATTTTTCAAATAGGATCTCATGTTTTTGCCCCAGCCAGCCTGGACTGTGATCCTATTTATGTCTCCTGCATAGCTGGGATGACAGGTATGTGCCACCATGCCTGGCTTTATCGGTTAGATGGATTCTCGCTGACTTTTTCTCCCACGCTGGCAATCTTCCCAATCTCTGCCTCCCGTTTCCAGAGTCATAGGCCTGAGCCACTGTGCCTGACTAGCATCCTGCAGAATGTGGTAATGCTTCTTCCCTGTTCAGGTGACTCGCAAAGTCCTGTTTCCTGGTGACTCTGAGATTGACCAGCTCTTTCGTATCTTTCGGACCCTGGGGACACCCAGTGAAGCCACATGGCCAGGAGTCACCCAGCTGCCTGACTATAAGGGCAGCTTCCCCAAGTGGACCAGCCAGGGGCTGGAGGAGACTGTGCCCAGCCTGGAGCCACAGGGAAAGGAGCTGCTCATGGTAGGTACAGGTGGGCAAGAATAGCACACTAGCTCCAGCGCTGCTCCAACCCATGCATCCACTTTATCAGCCAGCCTCTTATGTAACTTACCCCTCTCAGTTCACACTGACCCTTCCTGAGTCCTCCTTCCTGACCCTGGTGCACCCTAGCTTGTCTCTCTGTGTGTTTTGAACTGTTCAATTTGGAAGCTTCTCCTGTGCTAAGTCCAATGTTCCTCTTCCCTTGTGAAACTCATCTAGTTAGCTGTTTTTATACCATGGCACTTGCCCTTTTTTAACTAGTTGCCTTCTGTTTCTGAATACTCTCCCTTGTGGGCTTCACTGCCCCTCTAAATGGAGTGCTTCCCTGCCTTGGTTTCCCCCATAATGCCTTGCTCAGTGGTTGGTCTTTAAGCAGGATGTTCCCTACTGCCTGGGCTCCTGCCACTGTCCTCACTAACCCTTCCTGTGGCACTATCTTGACCCCTGGGCTTCCCAGAAGGCCTCAGAAAGCCCACAAAGCCACATTTCTGTCTTTACTCTGGTGTTGGGAAGGCAAAGCAGGATTTCCATCTTTAGGATGAGTGTTCAGCTCCCTAGAAGTCTAAGAGTGTCATTTATCAACTCAGTGCCAGCAGGACAGCAGGCACTTATGACCATAGCTCCTGCTTTCCCCATGCTACTTAACTCCACAGCAGTGGGTCCTTACACACCTTGCCTGAGTTTAGGGAATCAAATACAGACAGCTGGACAGACCTGGCCTGTTGTCCTGTTAGCTTCTCTGTCCCTCTTTCTCTGCCCTTTGGATGTCTGGCCCCGCCTCAAGTATACTCCCTGGACAGGCTCAGGTCCTGCTCTCTGATACTGACTGACACACATGTGTTCTTCTCAGCCAGAAGCAGATGGGACCTGGAGTCCTCAGCAAAGACGGGGAAGGACTGGGTTCTCTGAAGGAGACCTGGGTGAATTGTAGGACTGGATAAGAACTGACCCTTTGTCCCCAAATTCTGGGACAAATTCTGGAGTATCTGGACTGGCTTGAAATCTGGGAAGCAGCGGCTTCATGCAGTTCTGGGTTTGAAGGCAGCTACTGTGGGGCTCAGGCCCTCCAGCTGGGACTTGGAAGGGGAATTCCTCTCCCCATCCTGGTCACATCCAGATCCAACCTCTGTCTGCCTCCTTCCTTCCCAGCAACTCCTGCAGTACGACCCCAGCCAGAGGATCTCAGCCAAGGCCGCCCTGGCCCATCCGTACTTCTCATCTACTGAGCCCTACCCAGCACCCCGCCATTGTGTGCTGGAGCGTTTTTGCCGCTGAGAACATGTGAGACCCACCCACCGCTGCTGCCTCCCAACTCCAGCTCTCTCCAGCTGCCTTCCCAACTACTTCCCCAGAGAGGGGATGTGGGTAGAGAGTAAATCTCTAAGGAATTTTGCATTAGCCGTCAGAGGGCTGAGTTTGGGTTAGTCCTGCCAGAAGGTTAACAAGTTTCTTTGTTGTTTGTTGGGTTTGAGAGTTTCAAAATAGGGGCGCATACAGACGCTCCATACACAAGAAGATACATTAGATTTCCAGTCCCCTGGCACTGGAACTTCAACAGGTGCCAAGTTGAGAGCAGGAAGCCTGCCTGGGCTGCAGGCCACTTCTCCTACTTACCTGCTCCTTTGTCCATGAGGAAAGGGTGCCCCCTGGTGGTCTTTTTTTTTTATTTCAAATTTTTGCAGGAAGAGTTGAGTTCCAGTTCAGAATCCCAAGTTAAACAGAAGGGGATGAGGGAGGAGAAGGACCAGTTTCCTGATGCCAGGGAAGCTCAGGATACCTGTGGCTATTCTATATAGTTGTCACTTCATCAAAGATGTGCTAAGGTTTGCTTCCTCTTGACAAATGGAAAATAAATGTGACTTACTCCTGAGTTTTTTGGCTTTATTCTGCTCATGGGGAACACATGGGCTTGTCAAGAAGGGGTAGACAGACAGAGGGCTGAAGAAGTAGAGGTGGGGAAATGTAAATGGGTGTGGGGGAGGCCAGGGCTCATTCATGATCTTCCATGACCCAGCCACCCCATCCCTCTCCAGAATCCAAGGAACTACCTCCTCCAAGAACACCTCATTTGCCCTGCAGGTGAGCTGGGCATGACTACCCTCCACCTGGAGAAGCTACCAATGTTGCCCCTGGCCTAAAACTTCAGACACACTGATCCTGCATCCTCAAATGTGACAAGACATGGCACTGGGAGAATGTGTTTTATTGGAAACACAGGGTGGGGGAGAGGAGGAAAAAGCTGCTGATCGGCTGTGGGGATGGATGGGGCACCAAAGCTGGGGAGGCAGCCCAACACCACAAACATATGAGTAATGAGAAAGCGATGGATGGACAGAGGAACGGGGATTAAGGGGATTAAGCTGCTCGGGGCGAGAGATGCTTGCAGTCTTCCTTTCCCCACAGCCTAGCCTGTCCATTAGCGCACACAGGAGCGAGGGAAGGCAGGGGAGGCTGCGCGGTAGCAGCGGTACCCCTCCAGTGCAGCTGGGAGGAGCAACAGGCCGCTCAGGGGGTCTTTGCGGCAACGCCCCATGGCCTCCTTGTAGCTCAGACGTTCCTTGGAGATGGGGTCTGTCAAATCCTTCTCATAGCCAGACTCGTCCTGCAGGAGCTGCCCCAGGTCTTCACTGATCATACCACATTGCACAGCTTGAGGGATAGGGATTCGTCCCGTCCTCTTGGGATCAATGAGCCCCCCAGTCAGGTGCTGCACCAGCAGGTGTGAAAACACACTCTCCAGGGGCATCCAGCCCTTCTGGATGGCCTCTCCCACCGACAGCCTCTTCTTGGTGACCGGGTCCTCGATGCCAGTGAAGGCCTTCTGGGCATTGAGTAACCGCTGCATGGAGGTGTTCTCGATCAGCCCCCTCTCCAACGCCTTGTGCACAGAGTAGCGCTCACGATTGAGAAGGTCCACAATTCCTCCTGTGGCCGCCTGGGCCTCCAGCAGCTTCTGCCCAGTGATGGGGTCTAGCATATTCTTGGCCACAGCCGTCTTAATGCTGCACTTGTTGTCTGTGGTTGTGTCGTAGACACCGGCGATGGGGAAGCTGTCATCTGTGAGCCCAAGAGAGAGGCCTGGGGAAAAGAAACCGGTGCTCTGGGGGACTGGGGAACAGAGAGGAGACTTGGAGATGATGGAGCCAATGGAAAGTGAGGAGCAGGGCTTGGTCTCCCCTGCCACAAGCAAAGCAAACTCAGAGATGGGGAGACGGCCTTCCTTGTACAGGTGGTACTCCTCTTTGGAGATGCGGTGGCAACGGAGGGCGGCCTCGATGGAGTATTGCTTCCCACTCTTGCGGTCCAGGAGCACAGACTCCTCCCCGCAGGGACCCGAGGTGGTGACCTCCTCCCAGTCACACTCTAGCTCCTGCAGCTGGAGGTACTGGGCTCGGTCAATGATACCCCTCTTGTAGGCCTCATATGGGGACATATCGTTACCAGTCTCCGGCTCCAAGATGCAGATCTTGGTGGAAAGGTTGGTCTCCCTTGTCTGGGTCTCTTGGCTGAGCTCCTCCCGGCTCACCTTGGTGTGCAGGTCCCGAAGGGTCCTCTCCTTCTCGTAGATCTGGTCCTTTTCCTGGAGAATGGCAGCCTCAAGCTTTGAGAGCACCTGGCCTTTCTGGGCTGCCTTCTGCCGCTCACTCTCCGTCTTCTGGCTGAGCACCTTCGCCTCCTCCTCTAGCTGCAATGCTTTCTGCTGCTTCTGCCTCTCCAGCTCCCGCAGCTCCTGTTGTAGCCTCCCTCGCTCCAGGCTGGCCTGGTCCCGGGACTTCTGCAGCTCAGCCTCTTCCCTGGACCAGGTCCTCCTCAGTGCCTCCGCCCTGTCGATCTGCTCCCGCAAATGCCGCACCTTCTCCTCCCGGCCCTGGCGGGCTGCCCGCTCTCTGCTGACCATTTCCCATACCCGGGCCCGCTCACCCTCCAGCACCTGGTCCTTCTCCACCCTGATCACTTCCTTGTAGATGGTCTTCTCCTGCGATTTGGTTTTTTGGAGGACATCAATCTGGACCTGCAGGTTCTTGGACTCCCGATGTAGCTCCATCACTTTGGTCTTTTCCTGGTCCAGGTCCCGCCGCAGGGCTTCAGTGGATCTCTCCAGATCTGGATCCTTCTCCAGCTTGACCACTTCCTCCATGATGATCTTCCCCTGCACTGCAGGAGGCCGTTTCTCCAGCTCTTGGATCCTCAGGGTCAGTTGCCGCAGCTCCTTCTCCGTGGCCAGTTTCTTGCTGCGGTCCTCCTGGAAGCTGAGCAGGCCTTCCTTCTCCTCCACACTGGCTCGTAGCTGCTGCACCTCTCGCTCCAGTTGCCGCCGGCGACCCACTTCTTCATCCAGGCTGCGGCTCAGTCGGCTGTGGTCCTCACGTAGCTTTGGGTCCTTCTGAGTGACCACTACTTCCTGCACCACCACCTTCTCCTCGGGACGCCTCCTCTCCAGCAGCAGGTACTTGTTCTGCAGCTCGTAGACCACCTCCTCAGCAGCCCGCCTCTTCTGGGCTGCTTCCCGCACCTCCTGGCGGAGCCGCTTGGCCTCCTTCTCCAGCACTGGGTCCTTCTCGTGGCGTACCACCTCCTTGTTCACCATCTTGGTCTCCACCTTCGACCGCTCCCGCTTCCACTCGTCACGTTCCCCCTGCAGCCTGATGAGCTGCTCCTGGCAGCGCCCATCGACATTGACCAGCTCATTGAGCTGAGCCTTGAGGCGGTCGATCTCACGCAGCACCTCTGGGTTCTTCTCATGCCTCACCACCTCCTGGATCACCTCCTTGTACTCCACTGCGGGCTTCTGGACCCGCAGGACTGCCAGGTCCGGCAGCAGCCTTTCCACCTCCTCCTCCACGTTTTTCCTCTTGCTGGCTGTCTCCTGCAGCGCTCTCCTGAGCCGTGTGATCTCCTGTTCTGTCGCCGGGTCCACCTGGAAGATCTCACTGACTCTCTCCTGGAACTGCACCTTGGGTTTCTGCTTCTCCACCACACTGTACTTGCTCTGCAGGTCCCTCAGTTCCCTGGCCAGTGTTGAATTCTTGTTCCTCTCCTCCTCCAGCAGGCTTCTCAGTCTGGAAGACTCTTTTAGAAGGCCAGGATCCTGCTCCACCCTCGTTACCTCCTTCACAATGACCTTGGGCTCCACTGAGCTGATGACCTGCTCCAGGTCTTTGATGTGAGCCTGCAGCCTGGCCACGGCCTCCTCCGTCCCCTTCCTCCGCACAGCATCTTCCTTAATCTGCAGCCTCAGAGCCTGGGTTGCCTTAACCATTTCCAGATCCTTCTCTACCTTTACCACTTCTTTCACCACGACCTTCTCCTTCACGTTCACCTCCTTCTGCTCCAGAGCCAGGAGGTCCTTCTTCAGCATCTCCAGCCTGACCAAGATGGCAGAATTCTCCCCATGCAGCTTCTGGATCTCACTGTGCAGCTGGGTCGCCTGGCTGTCGAGGCCAGGGTCCCTCTCAATCCGGGTGACCTCCTTGGTCAGCAGGTGAGGCTGCATGGTCTTTCTCTTGCTCTCCAACTGGACAACCTTCTGGGTCACCGCCTCCAGATCTACCTGCAGACCAGCCTGTCTCTTGCCCTCTTCCTCCACCTGGGACTTCACCTTGGCCACACTGCTCTCCAGCTGGGGGTCTCGGTAGAACTCCACAACTTCCTTCTCCTCCAGCCTCTCCACAGGCCGCTGGGTCCTCAGTTGCAGTAGCTGGCGCCTCTGTTCTTCCAGCTCACACTGCACCTGGGCCACCCGCTTCCTCTCCTCCTCCAGCTGGGACTTCAGAACCTCTGACTCCCTCCTTACTTGGGCTGGGCTCTTGGCTCCCTGCTTTGCATCATGGGTCACCTGGATGTCCTCACTGAGCTCCTTCTGCAAATTGAAAGGAGGAGGGGAAGAGTACTGGATGAGGGAGGAAAGATTGGAGCCCACCCTTGAGATCAGAGACCCTTCTCTGCTTCCTGAGACTTCCTGGTGGACCCTGGGAGGTGGAACTGAAGACTTGAGATGCCAGGATCTGGGACTATGAGAAGACTCAGCCAATGCCACAATGCAAAGGTGCAAGGCAGGGCTCAAGCCAAATCTGTGCTAGAGAGCTCATTGAGGCAGGGTTCTTGCTTCTGGACCTTCCCCTCCCCTCCCATCCAGTTCCCAGAAACGAGCCTGTCCTGCTCTGAAGAGATGCTAGAATCTAGCTGAGAGAGAAAAAAGCTAGCGAGTCACCAGAAACCATGGAGAGCTCCTGGCTCCTCTTGCTCAAGCAGAAATGGAGCCCAGGTGGCCCTACTGCCATTGTGGCCAAGTCCTAAGGCTGAAGACTGGGGACTGTGCCAGATCTCTGGAATTAGAGATCCTGTCCCCATCGGAGGACCCCCCCAGTGGCTAAGCTGTGACTGCACTGAAGTCACCTCCAGGGTCTGCCTGGGGTGGGTACCAGTCTATAAGAACTGCTAGGGAGAAGATAATGGACAAGCCTGCTCTGGGGATACAGAAGATGAGAAAGGAAGACATCCAATGCCTGGTCAGGCCAGCTGTTATGGGAATAGAACCGGCATCATGTCTGTACCTTCTCTAGCATCCTTCTAGCAAATTCCAGCTGGTGCAGCTGCTGCTGGTGGGCAGCTGTGACCTCAGTGTAGGTCCTGGCAAGGTTCTTCTCCTGGAGAGGGCAGAGTGGGGGACAGTGAGGTCAGAGTCAGCTCCTGCTTCAGAGGCTGCGGAGTTGGTGTCAGGGATGCTGAGCCCCACAGGGGCCCATCTCACCTGGGCCTGGATACTCTCCTGCAGGGGGACCACTCGGGGTCTCTTGGGAGCTGACACTGCCTGGGTGGGCTCCAGGGAGCAACGATAGGTATCAGCCTGAAGCTCATAGTCCTGGATGTGAGAAAAGCTGGTGGTAGAGGCTGGGTGTGGGGGAGCAGGAACTAGAAGACAGAGGGGGACTGGAGGATAAAGAGGGGCAAGCCACAGTGAAAATGCTTACCTGGAGAACTGCCTGCAGGTCCTGGGAGAGACAGGATGCTCTGGCCCTGTCCCGCTCTCGGCCTTGGATCTCCTGTGTCAGCCTCTGCCAGGGAGAAAGTGAGAGGCATGGAGGCCAGGAAATGGCCTCACCCTGCCTCTCCTCCAGCCAGTTTCTCCAGGGCCATACATAGGCAGCCACATGGCAAAAGGGATGGGAAGCACTGTTGGGAGTCCGGGGAGGCCCCTCCTTTCCCTGACACCATTTTCTCTGCCCTTCCTCCTTCCTTGGCAGAGTCCCTTTCTCTTGCCTGGTACCTCCTAGAATTCTGTCCTGGCTCAGTGGTCATTGCCACTGTAGCTGTAGTGTGGCACAGTCCCTGAAGGACTCCTTAGGCCACAGATCTGCTGACCCCACTACACAGTGTGGCTCTCCTGGTCTGGGTGGCACCTGAAAGGGGCACTTTGGACAAGTTCCCAGATGACACTAATGGTCCAGGGACCACCCTCGGAGAATCACTGCTCTGTCACAATCTTCTTTTTTGCAGTGCTATGGTTTGAACTCAGGGCTTACACCTTGAGCCACCCTGCCAGCCCTTTTTTTGTGATGGGTTTTTCAATATAGGGTCTTGTGGACTATTTGCCTGGGCTGGCTTCAAACCACAATCCTCCTGATCTCTGCCTCCTGAGTTTCAAGGATTACAGGCGTGAGCCACTGGTGCCAGCCTCCTCCTCTTCCTCCTTCTCCTCCTCCTTCTTCTTCCTTTTCGCGTTTTCTAAGACAGGGTTTCTTCTTTTTTTTTCTTGTTTTAATTTTATTTGTTTGAGACAGTGTCTCTCTTGTAGCCCACACTGACCTCAATCCCCAGTCCTCCTGCCTTAGCCTCCTGAGTGCTGGGATTACAGGTACGTACCCTATGCATCACTCCACAATTGTTCTTTTTCTTTTTCTTTATTTTTTTTGGAAGTACTGGGTTTTGAATTCAGGGCTCGTGTTTGCTAGGCAGGCAATCTACAGTTTGAGCTATGCCTCCAGTCCTTTTTTGCTCTAATTATTTTTGACATAAGGTCTCACTTTCTCTGTAGGCCAGCCTGGCCCATGAGCCTCCTATTTTAAGCTTCCTTCCTATTTTAAGTAATTATGTACCACCGTATCTAGTTACTGGTTGAACTTTTTTTGCCCAGAGTGGCCTTGTTCAAACCACAATCCTCCCAATCTCAGCCTCCCAAGTTGCTACAGGCTTGAACCACTGTACCCTGCTGCCCAGCTATTCTTAACCTTGGCTGCCCCCATTCATTCACCTAGGAACTTAAAAAACAACAACAGGGCTAGCAGAGTGGCTCAAACGGTAAAAGCACCTGCCTGGCAAGTGTCAGGCCCTGAGTTCAAACTCCAGTGCTGCAAAACAACAACAAAAACAAACAAAAAACAACAGCAACAAAAAACCCACGATGCTCTAACCCCAACGATTCCAATTTAATTGTTCTGGGGAATGGTCCTTGTCCCTCAGGAGCCCCCCTGTCTTCATTTTTAGCCATTCTCCATTCAGAGCCACAGCCAGCCTCCAAACACCAATTTAGGGAGGCCTCCCTAGGTTTCTCCATGCTGCAGAGTTGAGTTCAGCCTCCTTCCTGGGTCTGGAAGGGCCTGGTGGTCAGGTTCTCAGCTGACCACTCTGCTCCCGGAACCTCACTCCTGTGTTTCTACCTGGGACATTTCTTCCTTCCACATGGCTCCCTTACTTATTCCTCAGGTCTCAGTTTAGGGGTCGGTTCCTTTACATCACTTGCTCTTACCCCCACGAGTGTCCAGTGGGGGGCTCCCACAGCACTCTGGCTTCTCCTAAAGTGCTTACTAGCATCATGACCTGGAAGGCATCAACTTCCCCCAGGGGACTGTGGGCTACCCAAGGGCTGGGGCTGCACCCTTTGCTCCTGGCTCCCTTCCTAAAGAGGATGCAGGAATGGCTGGAACCGGTGAACCCCACTGCCCACAGAGATGAGCCAAATGGAGCACTGCAGACTGGGGAAGAACCACGAGGGAGGGCTCTGGTCTCAGCTTTGAAGCCTCTTAGAGCAATTTTGAGCCTTAGTCACTAGGGGCCACACGTGCACAGGCAGCTGTCACTATCTGGGAGGCAGTCAGCGAGGTGGAGGTGGCTGGAGGCCCCAACTCAGGGCAGGGCTTTGACCTGCCACCAGGTCACCCACAGCCCCAAGCCCCTCACCTTCTGCGCTTGCAGCTTGTAGGCGATCTGGCTGGGCCCATCGCTGGGCCGCACCTGGTTTTGGGGCAGTTGCTCCAGCCAGGAGCTCAGGTTGTCTCTGCAGTTCTTGAACTGCTGGTAGGTGAGGCTGGCATCCTGCACCATCTTCTCCCTGCAGGAGAACAAGGGCCAGAGCAGACATAAGAAATGCCCTTTGGGGACAGGTGAGAGGTAACAGAGGATACTGGGACAGGCCCAGAGGCCTGAGCAGCCTGCCAGGCAGGTCTCCTACCCTCCTCTGACCCTGTGCTGGGGATGGAGTGGAGAGTCTCTGCACGGCACCACTCAGGGACGTAAGTACTGCTATTATCACATTTTAGAGGTGAACAAAGCTCCTCTGACAGAAGTCACCAGCCCCAGGTTACACAGCTCATCACTAGCAATGTCTGGGTTTTACCTATCCCATATATCATGGGGACATGCTACGTGCCCTGAGGGCCTGGTCACTTACCGCAGATCCAGCTGGTCCCCCACAGTGTGGTAGCGGTCGGTAAGGGCCCGCACCTGGCGCTGCTGGCGAGGCAGATCTTGGCAGTACTCTTGGAAGTTGTTCTGCAGTGCACTGCATGCATTCTCGGTGGCCTTCAGCCGGCGGTGCAGCCCCAACACACAGGCCTGCTGCTCCAGAAGCTCCCGCCGCTGGTGCTGCAGGAAAAGGGAACACAGCACCACACACACTCAATCGAGGTTCAGTGAGATGCGGAGGGCACCCCTATCCCCTCCCTCCCACCAGCGCCTACCTGCAGCTGGCTGACCCTCTCCTGCAGTGCCCCTGGGCCATCGGGGATGGGAGTCTCCTGTGCCAGGGTGGACTCAAAGCCTCGGATGACCTTGTCTGCATCTCGGATCTGCTGCTCTAGACCCAGGGCAGCCTTGGCTCTGCCGAGGATGTGGTAAGTGTCAGACACCTCCTTGACCGTGCCCACCTGGTGGCCCAGCCCCCCACCCTGAGAACTCACTTCTCCCCATAGAGGTTACACAGAATCTGCGTGTCGCTGTACTTATTCTTGACATTGTTGAGCGCCATGGGCAGCTGCAGGGCTGCTGGGCCCACAGGCCGCTCAGACAGAAATGCCTCACAGTCCTGCTGAGCTGCCTCCTTCTCAGCTCCCAGGGTCTGCAGGCGCTGTACTGTGCCCTGGAGAGGAAGGTGGGGTCAGGGATCTCTGGGCCCACTTAACTGTGTACATGGAGGTAGGAGAGTGTGGTGGGCACAAACTCAGGCCTGGATAGATGGTCCAGACCATCTCTGACCCTTGGTCTCTTCCTCTACAGAATGATGGATGGGAGAAGAAATAACATCTTGTATATTATTATACAGTTATCGGGAAAGCCAGACACACAGTTGCTTATTGTCATCTGCACATCACTATCCTGCTCACAAAACTTTCAGGTCCTCCACCCAGTTGCTCCAAGATCAGATAGCTAAAGTCCTGGCTCTGTTTACCCCAGCTGGGGTTATTGCTTTCATTCCCTTACCAGTGATTCACTCTTCCGTTCCATAAGGCATGACTTAGTGCCTGCTCTGTGCCGGGCACTCAGACCATCTAGTCTAACTAGGCACGTCATGGTCTCCAACACTGCTGATACAGCAAATGTTATGACATCAAAGCCCAAGACATGGTGGGGCAGGCCTGAAACACAGCACTGTAATCCCAGGCTGAAGTAGGAGGATCCTGAGTTCAGGGCCAGACTGGGCTGCCTAGCAAGACCCTGTCACAAAACAGGGCTGGAGGTGTGGCTCAAGTGACACAGTGCCTAGCAAGCACAAGGCCCTGAGTTCAAACCCCAGTACCACAGAAGAAAAAAAAAGAATTCAAAACAAATAAACAAACAAAAACCAAAGCTCCTCTCTCAGCCTGCATTGGGGATTGCCATGCAACCAGTGAGCCCTCTGCCATCCTGTGTCAGTCTTCTGCCTTCCCTGAGACCCCGCAATGAACACCTGGCTGGAGAAGCCTGTCCCCTCCTCCCCTGGCCAGGCTGAACATCTACACTTCATGGTAGAAAGGAAACAAGAGGTTGCACAATAATGTGATCGATGTGTTTCAAATTTTTTAAAACCAAACACAAACGATATACTATATTTGAACAGAAACCAGTTTAGAAGGGTAACCAGCCTGGGGGTGGGGAAGAGCAACTTCTACTCATGGAGCTTTCAGAGTGTTGAGTTCTCACTTGGTAATGACGTTTATATAATGTCACCTCTCCAGGAAGACTCCCCTTGGAGCCAGGAGAAACTTCCCCCTAGGGTGCTCCAGGCTTCCTTGCAGCTCTCAGGACCTTCCCCAGAAAAACTCCTGGATTTGGGGCTTCTATTCTGGCCTATACTAGAACCTTCCTGGCACTACAACACTGTCATCCAGGATGGATAGATGAGCTGGGTACTATCATGCCTGTTTTAGGAATGAGGAAACCGAGGCTCAGCTAGGTTAGTGACTTGCCCAAGGTGACAGAGCCCATCAGTGGAGAAGCCAGGATGGGAACCCTCTTTTCTGAGCCCTGGACTGCCTGCTCTCCTCTTCTACCTCAGATCCCATGGCTGCAACTCACTTGCCTTGTCTTGTTCCTTCCTAAAGTGAACACAGCCCCAGGCCACGGCTGCTTCTTTTTCCAGCTCCCCACTGGCCACTGACCTACCTCGAGGCTGTGGATGCGGCCTTCCAGATCCTCCAGTGGGGTGGAGCGGTTCAGTGGGGTCCGGGTCCAGGTCAGCACCTGCTTCTCTATCTGTTCCAAGTCATCATCCAGCCGGGTCATCTGTGTCAGGAGCTTCTGGGCCTGTGGGTCTGCTGAAATCAAGCCAGCTGGAGCTGGGGGCAGAGGTGCTGATGGGGTCCACGCCCACCTCATGTCTGCCTGAGATGGCCCCTCCCTGGGTGCCCACAGAGCAGGTGGAGAGAGGAGTTGGCAGGGGGATGGGCAGGAACTATCTGCTGGCCCTGTACCCAGAGCAGAAATCCTAATCCAGGGTCACCCCCTACCATCATAGTCCTCCAGAAGTGGCCTAAGCAGGAATCTATGATCTCTTTCCCAACAAGCCCCTCCCTGAAGCCCCTGGTACCCTGTGGTCCAGGCTGTAAAGGCTCTTTGGTAGTGGCCTTCAGGCGGCTTTGGACTGTGGCCAGTTTCTGCTTCAGGTCCTGCAGCTCCAAGGCCAGCCTGGAATGAGGAGGAGATTGGAGAAGGGTGATTCTCTCCCTCCCCAGCCCTGGCAGTCACTGCTCCAGGGAATGGCAGTGTTTGGGCAGGGGTCTGTGAGCAGTGGCCTTGAGCATCACAGGGCCTGGTCTGGGCCATAGCCTTCTTCCTGCCTCTGAGTATCCCTAGCAGACCCACCTGGAGACCTTGGCCACAGCTTCAGGGTCTGGTGCTGGGATGTGGAAGCAGGTAGCTGGAGCACTCTTGGTTTCCCCTCCAGGGCCCTGCACCACCCAGGTATACGGGTCAGTGTTGTCTACCAGTGTATACTGCTCTCCCCGAAATAGCTGCACCTGGGGACAGGTGGGGAGAGGTTCATGTGGGCTCAGGGACAGGCACTGGAGAGGCAGGCAAGGCTAACATGGGTAGGAGCTGGGACCAGGGACAGGTGAGGACAGCAATAGAACATGGGCTTCAGGAGGGGCAGGAGGTGCTAGAGTAGGGACAGGGGACTGATCAGAGGTACAGGACTTGGTAAGGGGTGGAGCTGGGTCAGGGGAAGGAGTAGACAGAGGAAGGGACAGAGTGGGTGGGTTGAGCTGGGGGCAGAAGCCAGTTGGGGCTGGAGCTTGGGTGAGATGGGGAGTAAAGGGGACTGGGATGGGTGAGGCAGGGCAGACAGAGCTTGTACTTCTCCTGAGTCCCAGTCACAGATGCTGTCCACATGCAGGGGCTGCTGGGGTGGGTTCCTGCGCAGCGGCAGAGGTGCCACCTCCCGGCTCTGCCACTTGAGGTCTCCAATGGTCTTCTCAGCCATGGTCAGCTGCTTCTCCTCTGCCTGCCAAGGGCAGAGGCAGCAGAGACTCAGGCCAGGCTACTCTGGAGGCCATCTGTCCCATACCCATCCCCCAAAAGGGCCAGAGTCTGCCCTTCATCAAGGCAGAGATCTAAGTCAGCAAAGAGAAAGGAGCCCCTCCCTGAGGCCCAGGTCCTGGGATCTGCTGGGAGTGGAAAGGGGGGGGTTGTCTAGCACCACACAGGCCTCTGGAGTGGAAGCTGCCAGGAGCTCACCCAGTCTGCCCCTTCCCATAACAAATGAGCAAACTGAGGTGCGGAGAGGGCAGGGCTTGCTGCTAACTGGGCAACCTTCTCCTGCTAGAGCAGGTGGGACTGGGGCAGAACTAGGGACTTAAGTAAGGAGAGATGTGACCCAGAAGATAAGCAGGCCCAGTTCCCACCAGCAGGGTGAGATGGCCTGGTGGCACTGTCTCACCTCCAGCTGTTGCAGCAGCTCTGTAGGGGATCCCCCAGGAATAGGGCTGTATTTGGAGTCCAAGTTGGCACTTAGCTTCTCCAGAGTCTGGCTGACTGAGTCAGCCTCTTCCTGGAACTAAGGTCACTGAATGGTCAAGGACAGAGCCGGGGCAAGTGGCTGCCCACTGACCCTGCAAACCAACTCAACACAAACCAGGCAAAACCCAAGCCAGCACTTTGTTTTGTCTTGCGCCAGAGGTAAAGGGCCCCACACCTGGCTCCCTCCACGTCCTGCAGGAGGTTTGGGCTGCACTTGTCCCAGCCTCAGAGTGGAAGCTGGGAGTGCAGTTTAAGGAATTATCTGGGGCTGGGGAATGAATGCTAGAGAATCATGGTCAGTTGTGTGATATGCATATTGTGCTTATGAAGGAAAGTGCCCTAAACAAAAAGGAAATGAAAGAAACTCCTTGGCCTTTGTCAGAAGTGTACAAAACAGTTTGGGCAGACATTATAACAAATAAAATCCCAGTGGTCTATTGTATGCAGTGTTTTCAGACCTTTTTCATTTTTGTCTCCCTAAAGAACTTTAAAAATTTTTTATTTTGAGAACAGGTTGTCCTCAAACGGGCTATGTAGCCCAGGCAGGCCTTGAACTAGCAATTCTCCTGCCTCATCCTCCCAAGAAGCTGGGATTATAAGTATGAACCACCACGCTGGGTTTACATGAACTTTTTTTGGCACTACTGGGATTTGAACTCAGGACCTTGCTAGGCAGGCGCTCCTTCAGTCCCCCATGAACTTTTAATACCTCAGATATGCTGTATATCTGTTGATGTGCTGTAGGTAAAGCTGTGTTTTATGCATAGAAAGAGTTAAATTTTTTTTTCACCTTTAAGAACCAATTGGCACTCTTCAGGGGCAAAAATCACCTTGCTGAGAATGTAGGCATGACATTATTTCCCCTCTGGGACCTAATCTCAATTACATAGCTGTGTCTTTTTAGAGGTCCCAGGTGTCCTGTGGCACCCTCCGGGCATCTATGTGCTCCAAGCGGTAGCCGCCAGCCCTTGGCACCCCTGGCTACAGGCTCACCCGGCGATAGTCCTCTACGTGCTGCAGCTGGCTCTCCTGGCAGATGCACAGGTTCAGGAAGTTCTGCCACTCCATCTTCAGCGCCTCCTGGTGCACCTGCGGAAGGCCTCACTAAGCGCTCAGCCTTGCCCCGCCCACCAGCCCTCCAGCCCTCTGATTGGGGGAGCGTCGAGGCCGTGGGCGGGGCCTCCGCACCTGGATCTGCCGGGCGGCCGGGTGCCCGAGCTGCACCATGCGCTCGCCGTCGTCCTCCAGCTGGTTCACGCTCTGCTCCTGGCCCAGCAGCTCGTGCTCCTTGAAGTGCTGGGGGCGAGTGGGATCGGAGCGGCGGTGAGCACCAGGGCGGTCCTGGCCACCCTATCCCCGTCCCCCAGTCCCCGGCTTGTCCCTGCCGACCTCGTACTCCCGCCGCACGCCCACGGGGTCGGCCATGAGGTCGCTCCAGTCCTGCTGCAGGATGCGACGTTGCTGCTCGACCAGGGCGCTCAGCTGCCGCGTGCAGCCCTGCAGGTGCGTGTACAAGCTGCCCAGGCTCTGCCCGCGCCACGAGGCCGCTTTCTGTTCTCAGCACCAGCAGCCGCAAGAGTGAGGAGCGAAGAAGGTGGCAAGAGATGCAGTTAGGCGCGCTCAGCATCACTGGCCCCGTAAGGGTCCCAGCATCCACCCCCAGCCCTGCCTGCTGCTCACCAGTAGGTCTCGGTATTGGCACCGGATGGTAGCTGCATCCTGCAACCAAGGAAAGAAAGAAACTCAGGGGCAATGAGAAGCAGGGTGCAAGGAGATGGCGCCCTATGTCTGGGTCACCTGGGCCCCACTCACCATTCTCCCCAGAAAGCTAGCAGCTCTGACGGGAGAAAGCGGGGCTGGGGCTGGACAGGGATGTTTGTCTGGCAGGGCTCACCCACCGGTCCCACGAGAGTCCGCAGCTGCTGCCCGTAGGTCTCGATCTCCCTCTGCAGAATGTTGTGCTCTGCAACCTGCTGCTCCAGCTCTGCCATGCCTGGCCCGTACTGGCCCTCACGGACCTCCTTCTGCAGGAGAACAGGCCTCTCAGTCCCACCAGCAGGGTCTGGGAGCCCAAGAACCCTATGGAACTTCCCACATGCCCTCCCTACCTCGAAGAAGCACAGTTACTCACTTGGGCAGATGGCTTCAGCTCCTCCCCCCACCCCAGGGGACATACCGTTCTCCTGTGGCTACCATGACCACAGTCCCTGAACCCTCACTGGTCCCCAGGATTCCTGGCACGGTTTCTGAAGTCCTCCCACTCTTCCCTGCCTTGTCTATGGCTCTGGCCTCAGCACCTGCTGCCTAAATACTGCCAGGACCCTCAGCACGCCTTGCTGCATGCAGGCCCTTCCCCACTGTCCCTTCACTGTCATCACGACACCCCTGCTGTTTGTACCATCAAACACAGTTAATTAAGAGTGTCCTGTGACAGCTGTGTGCACCTGCCCAGAAAACCCCACTTCCCATCGCACTTCAAGCCTCCTCCCAGCAGACTTTGCTCCTTCTTTCTGGAAGGTCCTCTCCATTTCAGCTTGACCCTGCCAAACCCTCCTGCCTTTCACGGGCTTCCTCCATCAGGAAGCCCTCTCTGACTGCACTGTCTGCTTGCTTCCATCCCAGACCCCAGATAGAATCCCTTCTGTCTTGCTCTCTGCTTGCACTAGGGTGTGACTTTGAGCTCCTCAAGTGCATCTCAGATGTTTGGGGTGCCCCTAACCTGTTTCTGTTCCAGCACACGTGCCCAGTCAACCCTGGGCCCCACATCGGGCGGCAGAACCATCTTCTCATACAGGGCACGGTACTCAGCACACTCCTGGGTCACTCGCTCATGCAACTGCTTGATGCTGTCGAGGAATGACCAGGAGGTCAGGGCTGGGCCGGACCTTCCTGGCACCACCACACCTCCACCCTGAGTTCTAACCCACTCACTCCTTCTCAATTTCCTCTGCCTGCGGGTGCTTGAGCCTCCGGGCCTTGTCCACATCCAGGAAGAGGTCTTTGAGCAGCACCTCCGCCTCCTTCAGGTTGCGGCCTGTCTCCTGCTGGAACTGCAGGGGCTGACTGTGCTCACTGTTCACCTTGTCCTGGGGTGGGACATGGAGGCTCGCCAGGCCCAGAGTCCCACATGCTCCCCCTCTTGTTCTTGCTGTGCCATCACTGCTGGCCTGAGCCCCAGAACTGAGACACTGGCTGGACCAGTCCCCGTTGGGGCCCACCAAGCAGAGGTCCAGGACATCTGTGGGGCAGGTGACAAGGACACAAAGGAAACCTGGGCCTCTCCCTTTGACCCCCAAAGTTGGGAGCACAGCACAGAAGGTAGGCTGAACCCTCTCTCCCGCTGAGTTTGGGGAGCGGGCAATGAGTGAAATACCATCATAGTGGGCACTGCAAGGACTGCCAAGCGTGACACTGGGCTCCATGCCACCTGATCTGCATGGGTCTCACCTGCTGCAGCCTCTTCTGGGTCTCCAGGATGTCTCTCTCCACCTGGTCAGCATTGGCTTGCATGCGGGAGATGAGCACAGCCAGTTCCTGGGTGGCAGCCCTGCAGGTGGTGGGGGACAGTGCAGCATGAGGGAAATGTCCCCACCAGAAAAGGCGCCTGCTCTCCACAGCCAACCCATCTGTCCGGAAGCAAGTGTCCAAGGCCTGGGGGACTCAGATCCTCAGCTCCAGGGGTGGACACAGCGCTTCCCTGTCCCCTCCCCCCACCACATGAGGATTCAGAAAGTGAGGGTCCCAGGGCCGTATGGTGCTGGGGAGCCTTAGGCACCCCAGCCTCAGCCTGGCTGTGACTTCCTGATCCCGACCAGCTGCCTGCCTGCTTCCAGGGAACGAGTGAATCACCAGCTCAGCCACTAACACCTGAAATGGCCTGGCTGGCCTGGGAAGGGACAGCTGGGACGGGAGCAGCAGCATGTCCCTGCCTGGCTTCCCCCATCCAGCCCTGTTTTCTCCACCCCTCTTCCAAGAGGCTTTGTCCAAGTCAAGGCTTAAGGGACCCTCTGGAAGAGTCTGTGTTGGGGCAGGGAGAAGCCAAGAGATGGTACACCCCAATATTCTCTAGATTTAGGGATTCAAAGATCGGGACCCGATTCTCTCTGGGTCACATGGCCTGGAAGTCTGCTGCTTATGTCCATGCTTGAGCTCCTACTGTATGCCTGCACTCTGAGGGTCAGGGGGTCAAGAAGATGTAAGTATAGAAAAAGTGTTCCCAGCCTCATGAGCACAGTGCCCTGTAGGGTCACAGTCCTGGGGAAGAAGACTTCATTGAGCTAGGCCTTGCATCAGGGGTCAAAGGAAAGGCCATCCCCTACCCGGCCATCCTTGTCAGAGGGGCAGTGTCAGTGAAGACAGTAGTTTCAAAGAACTCTGGTCAAGAAGGCCTGAGTTTGTTCTTTCTCTGTTACAACTGCTGTGTGACCTCAGGCAAATTACCAACTCGTCTGTGCCTGGGGTTCCTTTCTTATAAAATGAGGTTTTAATATCTTCCACACAGGGCTATTTTGAACATTAAGAGAATTCATCTGAAGTGTCCAGTACAAGTCTTGTGCACAGTCAGCACCTAATATGTGTTAGCTTTTATTATACTAGAGTATGAGTGCCTTGAAGGCAGGGACTTGTCTGTTCTATGTGCAGTGGCCTCCCCAGAGCTAGGACAGTCCTGGCACACTGTTGGTGCTCAGTAAGTGTGTGTTGAACGAGTGGACTACTCACAGGGGAGCAAGGAGTCCTCTTTTGGGACTGCAGCCAGAGCCAGCAGGGCCCTGGGGATGGAGCTGCCTCAGGCCGGAAACGCTTGGCCCAGGAGGCTGCCTGGAGAGCTGGGCCTCAGGTCTGACCTGCTTATAGGGCTGCTCCCACCAGTTGCTGAACACTCCACCCTGGGCTGGGCTCAGGTGCCCCAGGGGGACAGGTCATTCCAGTGAGAGTCTTAACTGCTGTCATTCCTGTCCGCCCAGACGCCCAGCCTCTGTGTTGGCGCCCTGATCCCTATCAGGTAATGGGCACCCCCACTTCAGCCTTTCATCTCTGCTCATATCTCGATACCTCAGCACCCCAACATCCTAGACCTGCTCTCAGAGAGGCACTGAGCAGGAAGAAGGTGACCAAGTCCATCTGCAGAGAGCTGGTGACCTGAGAGAGGCACAGGAGTCCCACCCCATGCCCACAGGAGAAGGAACTCCCAACTCTTTAACAAGAAATTCAAGGTCGGGGTGGAATCTCTTGAGGAAAGCTGTGGCTTAGCGGGAAGGCAGCCATCCCCACCCCACCTGTGCCCAGAAACCCTGCCCTCTGCCTCTTGGTCCTTCTGCCCACCCTGTGCCCAAGCTCCAAGAGTCATTCCAGCCAAGTGAGCCTTGGGGCAGAGCCTTAAGGCAGAGGCATGGACAGGGAGCCAGGCACTCCTGTCCCCCAGCCTCCCACAGAAGGCAACTGTTCAAGCCACTGCCTAGCACCTGTCCTGCAGAATGGCCTCAACCTTGGCCCTCAGGCCTCCCTGGAGTATGTGGAGAGCCCCAGGCCACACCCTGCTCCCTGTCCCAGCTGGAACTTGGTGTGGGCCAGAGGCTCAGGAAAGAGTCCACCCCTGGCCCGTTGGCCTTGGGATACCAAATCCCAGCACTGGCCACCATCAGATACCTGGAACACCTGGACCCTGCACCACCCTGACTCCAGCCCCCGACCCCTGACCCCCGCTCACCGGCTGTGCTTGCTGGGGGAGCCCTTGGGGGATCCCTTGGTTGGGGAGCCCTTGGGGGACCCCTTCCCCTGGGAGCCTTTGCTCAGCCCCTTGAACATGGTGGAAAAGCAGGTGCCGGCTCAGGCTGGGCTCCGGCAGGAGGAGGGCAGGCAGGCGGTGTGTGTCCTCGATGGCTACTCGGCGGGGCTCTGGCGAGGTGGGACGGCCAGCCGCACAGAGATGGCAGATTCTGGAGGCCCCTCCCTGCAGGTGAGGCGCCAGGCCTGGCCCGCCCTGCGCATGCCCCAGTGCCCGCCCGCTCCGGCACAACCAGTCTGGGAGGAAAGGGCCCAGCCCAGGGGCGGGGCGCCCGGGCGACTCCCACAGAGGTTTGGACTTGTCACACCCACACGCCCAGGGCGATCACACCCCAGGGGGAAATGGCCAGGCGCAGCAGAGACAGACAGATGCACACATACAGGTGCAGGCTCGGCAGAGAGGCCCAGGCCCTGGAACTCTGGCTAACCAATGCGTCCCACCAGCACCGAGGCCGCTATCAGGCAGGCCCCCACCCACTGCTCAGCCTGCCAGGCAGGACAGATGGGCAGCCCAGGGCCTGGCTCTCTGCTCCCTATGGGGATGGGGGGACACGACACATTCACCCCCAGACAACTAACTTTTTAAAAATGGGGGTACCACTCAGCTGACTCTCCAGGCAAGGCTAGCAGTCCCATGGCCCTATATTATGGCTAGCTTGGTGTCATCCCACTTGTCTGTGACTCCAGAGCCAGATACATTAGGACACCAATGCTGGGATCCTCCGAAGATTCTTAGGCCAGCTCCACAGGGGCCAGGTCACATACAGGACACCCTCCCCTGGTGCCACCAGAGTTGGCAGGACTGTACTGAACCCTAGCTTAGGCGGTGCCTGCTGAAAACCCATGGTGCTCCTTGGCCTCTCCTTCCTGGAAATGGTCCTCGTGGCTTCTGCCAAGTCAGACTGAGCAGCCAACAGTGATACTGGTTTAGTAGCCTTTTCCTCACATCAAGGGCCAAGGATCTGCCTCCTCTTTTTTCCAGGGCTTCAGGGTCTGCAGAAGCCAGGTGCCCCCTCCCTGTTTCCAGCAGTCACTGGTGCAGCTCTGGAGGTTCCTTCTACAGATATGGCCATTCTTCCCAGAGTCCTTCAGAGAACCATGTGGTTTTGGTAGAAGGAGCACTGGAAGGGGAGCTGGGGGAAGGGGCACAGTCATGCTAGTTTGGAGCTGGGACATTCTAGCAGGTCTGGTTGAGGACACAGCACATCCTGGTAGAAGAGAAGGGTCCTGGTAGGCTGGTGAGCCCAGGACTGGAAGCTGAACCTGGCCTCATGCCCCAAGGGAAGAAGAGGCCTGAACCTCTTTGGGCTATGTCTCATGGACAAACCACTAAACCTGGTTCTGGAATGGGGAACTAGGAGTCCCCCGTGCTTGAGGAGAGGGGCTGGCATTGCACTGGGCTGCTGCCAGAGCAAGCAGCCACAGGAAACAAGGTAGCCACGATGTTCTCTGCTTCCAGCTGAGTGTTCTTAATGAGATGGCGCCAGAGATGAGAAGCTACTCAGCCTCTGTCCCAGCTCCTCTCCATTTTAGTCCTGGTGACAATTTCCTTCTAACCACTAATGGCACACCTGCAATTAACTATTCTCAGAAGGGGCCATTTGTTTAAGTGACTACAGGGTCCAGAGGCCAACCCTCACCAGCAGCCTCTCTTCTCAGGGGGCCGTGAGTCCACACAGCTGCCTTTACCTTTGAGGTTGGCCCTTCCTCAGGAGGTAGCCATGGGAAGCAGGGCCTGGGGGAAAGAAGACATCTAGTCTCCCACCACTCTGGACCATCTGAGCTTCACTCCTCTCTGCAGAAGGCCTCCTGGCAGTAAATGAGCACTACAGGGGCCCTTGCACGCCCCAGGGCTCGAGGGCTAACTGACTCACTGCAACAAAACCAATAGCAGACTTCCTGGCATGACTGTCTATTGCCAGATCAAATCAGATCAGCTCCCCAGATGAGGGCCGGGCAGCAGGCAGGAACACCCAGGCTTTGAGGTCACTGCGGCATGCTCCTGCTCACATGGCAGCCACCTTGGCCCCAAGAATAAGTCACAGAAGGACAGGGACAAAAGAGAGGTGTGGCCGTCTCTGACTCCCCACCCTTGGAACTTCTAGGCCAGGGTGGGACTGCCCACCTCAGTGGAGACCCTCACTCAATATTCTACACAACAGCCAAGAGCCTGGCTTTTTGTCCTTCCTTCCCTTCACCTGCTCTGGCTTCCTCCTCCTTGCACTGAGGTTTGAGATGAAACAATCCCCAGGGTCTCCAGCCCTCGTCAACTGTGACTGTGAGTGGCAGTGTGCTCACATCCCTAGCCTCGAACTCCAGCATGGCTCCTAGCTCCGATGCTGCCATGCACAGTTGGGCACAAGGGCAGTGAGGCCAGAGGGTGGTGCTTGGCAAGCATTTCAGGGCTTTGGCCCTTAGGTACCCACTCTCTCCTCCAGCTCAAGGACCCTCTTCCTACAGGGTGGGCATTCCTCTCCATGTTGAAGCAGATGGTGGCAGTTCTCTTTGCCCTGGGAGTGTAAGCTCTGCCATCTCAGGAAATTGCCCTATGTTTGTACAGTCTCTGCCATCAGACCCTTGGACCGAGGCAGAATGATCCCCTCCCCTCCCTTACCCTCCTTGGCCCAAGAGGAACAGGAACTGGGCCTATAGAGGACAGGCAGGTGTTTGGAGGGGCAGGAGGGAGGAGCCCAGGGCTGGGGCAGAGGCTGCGGTCCCAGGAATTTGCAGGGCTGTCTGGAGGAGGCTCTTCTGGCTGTGAGTTTGCCCAGCAGCCTGATAAACAGAAATGCTGAAGGTCTGCAAAAGGTGACAGGACTCGCCTAACTAGGGCAGCACAGAGGAAAAGGTGCTGGTTGTTCTTCCTCTCGGGCCATTAAGGGAGGCTCTGAAGGCAGCATTTCACAAAATCCCCCAACACGACTGAAGGTATAGGTCAGTGGTAAAGCACTTGCCTAGCATGTTTGAGGCCCTGGCTTTCACCCCCAGTACCACAAAATAAAATTAAAAGAATTTAAAAGGCCCCCAATACAAACAAATTCTGCCTGTTTCAAGAGCTGAACTCCCATACTAAATGGCCAGAGAACACAGAAGAGACCCCAGAAGTCCCCAAATCTTAAGGCTGCCTCAGGGTGCTTGTCTCTCCCTGTGTAATGTTCCCCTTCCCTGGCCTTGGGCCTTGGGCTGGCCCCAGCTCACCCGTGAGACCAGTGTCAGTGCAGCCCACACCTCAAGGCCACAGCAGCTACCTGTGCACAAGCCATCTCTGTTCCACAAGTCTGCAGCTGCCAGTCTTTTTTTTTGTCAGTACTTGGGTTTGAACTCACGGTCTCACACTTGCTAGGCAGGTGCTCAACCACTTGTGTCACTCCACCAGCTCTGTATTTTGCTGGGAATTTTTGAAATAGGGTCTCAAGAACTATTTGCCTAGGGCTGGCTTTGAACCATGATCCTTCTGATTTCTACCTCCTGAGTAGCTAGGATTACAGGTGTGAGTCACTGGCTCGTGGCTGCAGCTGCCAGTCTTGCTCAGAAATTGCTGGGCCTCTGGTGCCTTTAGGACAGCCCTTAATCGCTAAGGTCTGGGGACCTGCAGCCCTTATGGCAAAGGTCAGGTCTGGGAGAAGGCTAAGTGCTTGTGTGACAAGGTGACAGCCCACACGGCAGCTGGATACAGCTCTGCCACAGGCCCTGGTCTGAAGAAAAAAGTTCGTAAGACAGACACACATGCATGAAGGAAAAAGCTAACAACCATCCTCACAACAGAGGGGTGGGCCTCCCTAATTGTCACCAGGAAACTGGAAGGGGAGTCCATCTGCCATCCTAACCAGCCTCTGCCCTCTGTCCTAACAGCTTTGCCTAGACTTAAAACTCAGCTCAGAAGGCAGGAGAGAAGGGCGAGACACTCTCCAAGGGCCTTTTGTTCACTGGCTGTGTGTGCCACCAACTCCATTTGGATCCTGAGCCCAGTGTTCCCGGGGACTCTCTTCCCCGTCAGGCTGCAGTGAGAAAATGCCTGCATTTTCTTCTACCTGTTCAGTTGGAGAAACACACCTGTTCTATGGTGAGAGAGACTGCTCAGTCTGAGCAGGTTGGGCAGGGCCACACACCAAGAAGCGTTAAGGCCTGGGCTCCTGCTCTCCCTGGGTGGCTCTCCTGAGGCTATGGGGGGAGGTATGGGTGGCCAGGCCTCTGTCCTCAGATGAGCCAGAAATAACAGTGCTCAGCCCTCATGGACTGAGCAGCTGCCTATTGTCACTGCATTGCTTCTTGTCACAAGATCCCTGGGGAATGTTCAGCCTGATGGAAAGGATGTCGTTCTTTTCCAAGTGGTGAGGATTTGTTCCATCACTTGAACGAAATCTGCTGCAAACTGGCACCCCAGAGAAACACTCACTTCCAATGCAGTTGACATCAGTCTGGCAAAGGGACCTCTGAGAGAGAAAAGCAGGCCCCCAGTCTCAGTCCTAGCTCAGAGCTGCTGAGCAGACAGACGACCTGTAATGGGGCTATCCCCATCCTCACCCACAGTACTGGGGATTGAACTCAAGGCCTCCTAGCAAGTGCTCCACCATTTGAGCCATGTCCCCAGTCCTGCTTTTAGTGTCGTTTTTCAGATAGGGGCCTGTGATAACTTTGCCAGAACAGGCTTCAGATTGTCATCCTCCTGTTTCCACCTCCTAAATAGCTGGGATTACAGGTAGGTAACAGAGTACCTAGCTCTGATGACACTGATAAGGCAGACATGAGAATCCTGACCACAAAACACCAGGCTTCAACCTGAGACGACAGTCCCTTAACAGCTTGAAAAGGTCCCACAAAAAGTCCCCACAAGCATTGCCTCAATAAAACCTCATTTGAAATTATGTTTTAACTTACACCAAGTAACAATTCCTCTAGTTAATACTTATAGAACCCTTCCTCTATGCTAGATGGTGCATAGAACAGAAGGCAGATTCCTTAAATTCAAAGATGTGTTTCTACACCGCGTGCCCTGGACAATCAGGCATCCAGCTCGCCCTGGGTACAACCTGGGCCCCTGCCCAGACTCTGCTCTCATATGACGACTGACACACAAATGGCTCTAATGCCTAATAGACAGGCAGGTTAGATTCTTTGTCAGTGTCAGGACAAAGGAAACTTCCAATTTATTCTCTGCTTTAGGAACATGGACAAATTTTATAGCTAAATCTGGTTTCCATCTCCTCTGAAGCAACAAGTGTCTTCAAAAAAAAAAAAAAAAACCAACGCATATTTTTGCTATCTTTGGATATTTTCCTAGACCTCTGAATGTTCCAAGCTTTTCAAGGCTCAGACAGCAAGGGGCTGTTTAGAATTGTGTGATTAATTAGCTTTTGTGTAATTAATGATGCCTAGTGTGTGAAAAACCAGTGTTGCCCACATAAGGATGACAGTAAACAGAGTACAATCCTCACCCCTGAAGCCCCTGGAGTCAGCCTTCCTCTCCAGGAGGGAGCAAAGCCGTCACCTCAGCTTTTAGGAATAAAGACCTCCAGGGATGACAGAGAGCTACCATCACAGGCTGTCACTTCATGGCCAGGGCAAGAGGCTCAGGAGATGTGAATCAAGCCTTAGTTGTGTTTTACTTCAAGCAGGGAGTCCAAGAATTTGCACTGCCTTAATGTAAAACCACAGAGGGGACATACAAGTCAGAGCACAGAGCGAGGAAACACCCAGCTGACCCTCAGCACCTCTCATGCCACTTGTCACTTCTTTGAACAGCAGGACAGGGCCAATCTCCTTCTGTGATACCACCAGCAAAGTGTGCTGATGCAGGGGTGGCAAGGTCCTGACTTGAAACCTGCTCCTCTCAGAGTGCCTCCTGGGCCTGAGGACAGGACGGGCTCGCTTTTGGAACTCTGTCCCCCATGACACGCCTGCTTCATGTCCAGGGATCTTACATGAAGGGACGTGTGAGCTCGCACATCCTTGGCTCTGCCCAATCTGTCTTATGTAAATATTTTAACACGCAGTGGACGACATCAGTGTGAGGAAAACAACAGCCAGTGCTACTTGGGGTGCCATGGGGATGATGGGAGGAATGTGTGGCTACGAGAAAGAACAAGCATGAAGCAATCTTAAAATGCAGAGGTGCCACCAGAACGATCTGTGCCTCTACTCCTGCTGTTCACAGCGTGTAGATCCCCACAAGCCTGCACTCTAGAGTGGGTGGGGGCAGAAGAGAGAAAAGCAAGGCAAAAGGACACCTTCCTAGGAAGACAGGACAAAAGGAGTAGGAACTCAAGAAATCCCTCAAATACTGGCACAAAGTGGGCTAGAGGCTGCAGGCACTGCGGGGCCTCAAACTGGGACCTCAGAGTCACAGGACAAACTAAGCTGGCACAGAGACCAGACTGGACACGGAAAGTGTCACGCAGATGCAGAGACTCGCCCCACAGCCTGGTGCTGCAAGCTCTCTGGGAAGGAGAGCCCAGGGCTAGGGTGTAGCTCAGAGGTACAGTGCTTGCACGAGGCCCTGGGTTAGCTCTCCAGCAACGCACAAAAGATTGAAGCCCCAGTGCTGCCTCAGCCAAGTAGGGACACAGATCAGAGCCTTCAAGGCTAAACCCAGGACCTCAATTGGAGGCCAGCCACTGTGCTGTATCTTCAAAAGGAGGCAGGACACTCCTGAAGTGTATGGCATACGTGGTAAAACTTGCAAATAAGATAAAAAAAAAATAGTAATTTGATCCCAAGTCAATATAAATAAGTAAATAATAAGTCAGCTTCTTGACCCCCAAGCAAATCCCAGGGGATTTGGAGATGCAAGTTTCTGTGTCTCTAGTCTTTGACAACAAGCAGCACGGTGTCCTCTCCTGGCTCCTGCCACCCCTTCCACAGTGGCTGAGGACAAGGCCTGGCGTGCACAGTGGGAGTCCACCTCAGAGCAATACTCTTGGATGGTTCATCTTTGCCTTCCCTTCACGCCGCCCAGTCCACTCCATGCCTGAATCACACCGGAGCTGACATTTCTCATGGTGGATTTTCTTTGCTGTAGGACAAGTGAGTTTAGGTTTCCAACAGGGCTGAGAGGTGTTACGTACATCTCAGGTTTAAATCATTTATTCCTTCCTTCTTACACGGCTTTTGTGACATCTATTATTGATGCCTTAACAGAGAGAAAAAAGGATGACTAAGGAATAAAGAAAGAAGGATGGAGGTTGTTAAAATGTGGTGGCATCTAAACCTTACAGGTCAAGCACTCTATAAAAAGAGCGCCTCGAACACATCTGTATGTGGTGCGAACTGCATCCAGCTGCCAGGAAGTCAGGATGGATTTGACCTCACAGGGTCATTCGGCCAGGTCCCCTAGGAGAACGGGGCTGGAGGACATGTAAAAAATGAGCAGTCTCCATCATCTTTACCTTTTAATATAAGATTTGGTTTCATCATTTCTGAGTGTAACATATTTCTTCTAAAAATAGAGCTCTCTGCTTGTTCTGAAACTTAACGTTCACCTGGAGGTGATGGGGATAAGGCTGACTGCAACTCTGGGGTAACAGTGCCAATGTTTCATAGCCGTGGATAAACTTCAAGGGATTCTGGACGCTCATAGCAAGGAAGAGTTCATTTCAAATCCATGGTACTGAGGACACATGACAAACATTCTAAGCCCCACCCTAAGCCTGATGTGGAACCCCTGAACACATTACAGACCAAAGGTAATCCCAGCTCATGCCCAGACAGCAGTGGTCCCTGGGAGGTACAGGAAACAGAATGACCCTGACATAGGGCCCAGAAAACAACAGGGTGCTCTTTCCACACATGGGTTAAGAATGTAAGTGCACAAACACATGAGATGTAGGGACCCAGGGCTGAGGGTGCTGAGCTCTGCCCTGGGCCAATGCAGACCTGGATTTAATGTCACGGAACTTGCTGGGATATTCTCACAATATAGATGAAGAGTCAGAATCTCCCCTGCCCCCAGGAAGAGCCTGGTTAGCTCCTGAATCCAAAGATGCCCTTGATGTATCCGGTGAGACCACTCTTGGTCTTCTGCTCCAACTTGTCCTCGAGGGGTGGGAAAGCCACATGATTAAGGGCCAGGTCGAAGAACAAAGGCTTGCAAGGGATGGGCTGGAATCCTGGTGGGAAGTGCACAAGGTTGGCTTGCTTGGTGACCAGGGAGGGGTCCAGGCAGAAGGTCTCAAACCGTTCGACCAGAGGCTGGAAGCCAAATCAAAGGCCTTAATCACAGAAAACCCACAGTGAACACTCACCACACACTGGGCACCCAGGTCAGTGCCTGCATGTGCTACATCTTTTGGGGGTGGGTATCACCTCCCTAATAGAGATCAGTAACTGACACTTGGAGGTTAAGAGGGGATCCAGGTTAGGGCTCTGACCCATATCTACCACTCTGAGAAGCTTCCTCGACCTTATTCCCTAGGCAATCTAGACACCTAATAAGCAAAACAGGGTACCTGCAGGTCTCTGAGCAAGAAAAAGGAGGGAAATAGGGAGTTTCCCTAGAAACCCAGGGCCCTCTGTTCTACAAATGAGCACACATTTCCAGTGAGTTACCAATCATACTCTATTCTTCAAAAGCCACAACCAGACTTACCTTAGAGTCCTTGACTTGGGAGGAACTCTCTGTTTGATGAGAGTCATTTGCATCTGAAAGTTCCACAAGATTCAGTAAGAACAGGGACTCTGCACATTACAGTTACAAATGAGGCCCATCACAGCATGACTTCTACATGCAGAGAACAAAGGCAGCCACAATGTGGGGAGTGAGCCTGCACCCTCCTGGGACCAAATTCTGCTAAGAGGTGGTGTAAATGGAAAATCAATCCCAGTTCCACTGCAGTCAGCCCAGCGGAGCTGCTAGTATAAGGAAGATGATAAGGAGGGGAGGGGACAGTGTGACAGTGTTTCTGTAAATCCCTCTACACAATTCAGTGCTGAATGTGGCAGGTGTAAAGGCTGGGCAAAAATAACAGTCTTACAGTTTTACCCAAACACCACCTTTCAATCTTAAAATAGTGGCAAAATATGAGGGACAGAAGAGTGGCAGTGAAGGGAACTCTGAGGACACAGTCAGCCAGGATCAGGAAGGTGGCTCACCCAGGATGGCTGCAGCCTGCAGTGAGCACTTCTCTGACCGCACTTGAGTGATGAGGTCTTGCACGTCAGGCAGGTCCTGCAATAATTCCAGGAATGCACATTTACCAGCCTGGCTGGGTCAGGCCACAGCAGCACCCACACTAGCTTGATTAGGTGATCCCACTAGAATTTTCAGAGGATTTTGGATTTTATAAATGGTTCTACATTTAAAAAAAAAGGACAACTAACCAATGAACAAACCAAAAACCCAAAAAAACATGGCCTATTTGAAGCGAAAAAAGCTAGGTCATGGCTTAAGTAATGATGCCTGAAATGGTAATGATACAGTAATAGATTTACTATGGATTAAATACAGCACATGCCAGACATTGTTCTAAACAGTTCGTGTAATTGCTAACTTAGTCTTCAAGATAATCTTGGGGTATTGTACTCCCATGTGGCAGGTGAGAACACTGAAGGATGGAGAGTTAAAGGATGTGACAGGTGCACCCCTGGGGAGCAGAGGTGGGACTTGCAATCAAGCCCCAGCCTCCATACTCTACAGCTTCTACAAGGGCAGTGCCTTGCTCTGGGCCTTAGTTGGCAGAATGGGAATGATATGACAAAGTCTGGATAGCACAGAACTCTTCCTGTCTACTTTCTCTGACACTATCTCCCCAAAACATGCAGTGTACGAGGTCAGACAGACATTTATAAAGCACCTCATTGTTTTCTCCTGAGGTGAACAATATACACACTAGTTTGTCACTGTGTACCAAAATGATATCCCACTCTGCTAATTTGGACACACTCCTCACCCCACCTTCTGCACCCCCATCCCTCCTTCCTATCCCTACTTGTACTCCAGGTCTACTTCTTCTTTTTTTTGTTTCTGTAGAGCTGAAGATCAAACTCAGAGCGCTGTGCATGCTAAGTACATGCTCTAGTTTTTTAACAACAGAAATGTCTTGCTTTTCTTTGAAAGGAGCCTTGCTATGTAGCCAAGGCTGATCTTGAACTCATTATGCAGTCCAGGTTGACCTCAAACTCTCTATCCTCCAGTCCCAGTCTCCTAGTGCTAGGATAACAGGTTTGTGCCATCACACCCAACTGAAACAGCTTTTGTCAGACCTAAATCCTCCTCAGGCCTGGAATGTACTATGAGTTACATAGATTACAGCTCAAGAGCACCCAGGGAAAGCAGCCCGAGAAGCCCAGCACCACTTCATGGCATACTTCCTGGGGCATAGAAACAAGGAGAGGTCAACAGCTTACCTGCAGGCTGTTCTTGAAGGCTCCAGCATCAGAATTTACTTCATTTGCATATTTCAGGACTCTATCGTATAGGACAAGGGCTTCACTCCACTTCTTTACCAACACGTAGGACTGAGCAATGAAAAAACACCTGATGGGAAGGGGAAAAAGAGCCACAGTATTCTCAAGCAATGAACTGCTCAAAACCAAGGCTTTCCTTGCAGTTGAGGCTGAATTTTAAATTTGGAAACAGGATTCTTAGCTCAGGATCAATGCCTGAAAGTGCTCCCCCCATCAGAGTATCCAGGTTTGCTAGGCTCATTTGCAGGTCCTTCCCACCAATTGGAAATGGCCATTAAGTCCAACACAGAGCCACCATCTTTCACTTACTGGCTGACTGTACATAAGTGGGGAATCTCAAAAGGAGCAGAGGGCAGACAAAAGGAGGAATGTTGTCTGGCTCAAGTATGAATCCCACTCACCATTGTCCACATGTCTAAACCACAACCATTCGTTTTTCAAAAACCAAAACCAAAAAAGGCTTTTTCTAATAAAAATTCTACTGGGCTCAACAGAAACAGACCACTTCCTTTACAGAAGAGAAAGGGTCACCTGAGAGAAGACAGGGAACCCTGGGGAGCCTAAGAACATGGGTTGTGAAGGCCAGAAAAGGAAGGCACAGGGCTCTACTCTGCCATTCTGTGGAGACCCTCCCCATACCCTCTTGTTATATCACCCACTTCCAAGTCACAAATACCATGATTCATTTAAGAAGCTACCATATTTAGCTTTATTTCAATCTAGTTCAAGCTCCCAGAACTGGCCTGCTCTAGTTTGCTAATTAACACCCTTTCCTATGCTTGTCTCTCTTCTCTGGGTGGGAGTTTCAAGGAAAGAAGAGGCCAAGTTTAATCCCCTGACCTACCCAAAGAGCAAACAAGGGGTACTGGAAACCACTGGCTGCAACCTTTGGTAACTACTTCTTGTGAACACTCTCTGCTCATGGAAAGGCAGCCACAAAGTCAAATGCCAATAACCCAATTTTTCCATGTCCCAACACTCACGGAACTGCTGGGATGCAGAGGAGAGCCCTGACCAACCTGAGGAATGTTACCTGTAAGCTTTGAACACCAGGGTCTTGAGGCCTATTTCTTTTTGGAAAGCTCTGTCCTCTTCTAAGCCAGGGAGCTGCAGCAATTCCACCAGATTCTATACAACAGATGCAACAAGAAAATCCATGAGGAGAAGGCCTCAGATTGAGTTCTTGTCAGAAGACCTTGTAAGAACAGACAAAAGTGGAAAGAGTCTGTGCTTGAAATAATGGGCAAAGTCTGTGACATGGACTTAGCAGAAGCTGCACTTGGTGTCCCTCCTTGACACCGAAAGCCTATTCGTCCTTTATCAATCAATTCACAATCTCGCCCAACTTCAGGGACTTCTGGACTATGTGGACTCTGGACTGGACCTCTGAACTGTGTTTTAGTGGCCCACTCATTTAGCAGCTGTATAAAGACACTATGGGTGTTTATAGCAATCTTACTAACTGTTCTACTCCCAGAGGGCCAAGATAGTGTAGAATCAGGTCTCCAGAACTGCTCAGTGAATACCATGTGGTTGTCTCTGTACCTCAAAATATCTGAAATATGGGGGCATCTGGGCTACTGAAGTAATACAAGACCCATGTCTTCCGTCCAGCTACTAGTCACTCACAGCCGTTTCACTATGCAAAGTCATTTTGTGTCCAACACTGGCAAAGGACAGACCTTGCCTCCCCAGTTCCCAAAGGTTACCTGCAGAATGATGTCATAGAGCCGAATCAGGTCCTGGGGTCGAGGAGTGCGCTTGCTGTCATCTTCTGGCTGCTGCTGCAGCAGAGCCTTCTGCAAGCCTTTAGCCATGTTCTCATTACGCCTGATTGCCGTTGAAAGCTTGATGTAGGTCAGGTAGCTGGAATGTACCGCATGTCATCTCAGGTTATGCTGAGGGAAGCTAATGTTCTGGGAAGAGTACTCAACTGCTGAGTTGGGACTAACCAGGGGAAGCGTAATCAAGAGCGTGTTACACAGAAAGGCCATCTGTCTGGGTCTAAACCCACAGGACCCGCAATTTGGCAGCTGTTCAGAAGCAAATGTTCAGGGGACCAGAATGAGATCTTATCACAAAAGTTCATTTCAGCATGAATTATATCCTCTGTATCATTTTTCAAAAGCCACAGAGCTCCAAATTTCAGAGGACATTGCTTATTCTTAAGAAGGTCCATGTAGAGCTGAAGTGTAGCTCAAGCGGTAGAGTGCCTGACTAGCAACCATGAAGTCCTGAGTCCAAACCCCAGTACCACCAAAAAAAAGTCTATGGGTGGGACCGGGGGTGTAGCTCAGGGGTAGAGAAAGTTGCCTAGTATGCCCAAAGTCCTAGTTCAATCCCTAGCACTGCAAGAAAACAAACAGAAGGGCCATGGGTAGAAACAAGTTTTTGGAAGGAGGACCAGTTACCTGCCTGGTTCACTTGTTGGTTAACTTTGATATCAATTTTTTTTTTTTTGACAGTACTGAGGTTTGAACTCAGAGCCTCATGCTTGCTAGGCAGAGGTGCTCTACCACTTGAGCCATTCTGCCAGCTGTGATGGTTAATTCTGACTATCAGTTTCACTGGATCGAAAAACACCTAGGAGATAAATAAAAGCATACCTCTGGGTAGGTCTATGATGAATTTCCAGAGACAGTTAGATCATAAGGGCTCTCACCTAATGAATTAATGAATCGCTTGATAGATATGTAACACGATGGCACTACTGGAAAGGGTTGAAAGGCAGGAAATGGAGCCTGGTTGGAGGAAGTGGGTCACCAGAGTGGATGTCTGGGGCTTTATCTTGCCCTAGCTCTTCCTATATTATTCTCTCTCTCTGCTTCCTGTCCACCATGATGTGAACTGCTCTGTTCCACCATGCCCTTCTTGTCATGATGGTCTAACAACTCTGAAACCAAGAGCTAAAATAAGTAATTCTTCCCTTTAAATTGTAATTTTGAGGCAGGCTAGTACCAGGGAAAAAAAACAACAACAGAAAAACACCACAGAACTCAATCCTCTTTAACCAGGTATCCCTCCATGCTGAACTCCTCCTTGTCCTCATGCAGACATCCCTTCTAATGGTCAGGATTGCAGTTGTAAATTCCTCTGCAATTGTAAATTGCCAAAAAGACAAGGGAGTGTCTTGCTGGTTCAAACCAGAAAAGGAAATCTGTTCCCAATCTGACCTCTCAGATAAAGCCCTATACTTATGATCTTATGAATACTGGTCACTTCTCATACATACAATGAAATACCTGGGAATCAGTGTAAGTGCACGCACAGAATGCCCCATGCTATATAACAAGAACATGTCAATCAAACTTGCCAATTATCGCAGTCCCTCCTGCCATTTGCCTTTACAACTTATAAATTGCCCATTAAACAAAGGCCGGTGATCCTGAGTCATCTGAACAGAGCCCACTGTGCCTTTTAGTGCATCCTTCTGCCTACACTTTCCTTTCTCTTTCAAGAAAAACTTTGCTCCTGCTTTGCAATCTGTATCTCTCTTCAATTCTTTGTTCTTGAGGCACAAAGACCCAGGGTATTCTAAGACTACCCCCTGGTAACAATGTCAGGTATTTTGTCACTGTGATGCAAAAGTAACTGATATAGAAAACTGGTACCACTGAAGTAGGGCTGTTGCTGTGACTGAACTTGCCCATGTGGTTCTTTGGTCTTTGGAGCTGGTTTAAGGGAGGAATTTGGAAGAATTGAGAATGCAGGCTAGAAATAGGAGAAGGGAACCAGGAACTAGAGAAAAGGTTAGTTCAAGAAGAATTAACCTAGAAGGTAACACACACGCACAGGAAATTAATGTGAGTCAACTCCCTGTATAGCTATCCTTATCTCAACTAGCAAAAACCCTTGGTCCTTCCTATTATTGCTTATACTCTCTCTTCAACAAAATTAGAGATAAGGGCAAAATAGTTTCTGCCTGGTAGCGAGGGGGGGGGTAAGGGTAAGGGAGTTGGCAGGGGGAAGGGGGGAGAAATGACCCAAACATTGTATGTACATATGAATAAAAGAAAAAAAAAAGAGAGAGAGAATGCAGGCTAGAGAAGCCCTAGAATGCTACAAGAACTTAATGGGCGATTCTTGTGCAAACTCAGATGAGAACTCTGACAGAAATGCAGACAGTAAAAACTGTGCTCATGGGGTTTCAGATGGGAATGAGGACTCTGTTGGAAACTGAACTAGAGGCCATTCATGTCACATTTGGAAAAGAATTTGCCTTTATTTTGTTGGTGTCCTGAGACTTTGTGGGAGACTGAGTTTACAAGTGACAATGGATTCATTAAGTCGGCAGAGGAAATTTCAGACAGCATAGCATTCAGACTGCTGCAGCTAATGCTGGCTGCTGTTAGCCAGATTAATAGTGAGAATCAGGAGCAAAAAGAAGAGCAGAAAAAGCAAGCAGACTGGTAAGAAAAGAACCAAGTTGAAAGTTGTGGACAAGGAGGCATCATTGCTGGTGGCGTGGCTCAAGTGGTAGAACAGCTGTCCAGAAAGCCACAGGCTCCACTTCAACCCCCAGTACCACCCTGCTCCAAAAAGAGGTTAGTGTGATGAAAACCATCAACTATTTTGCATGGAGACAATAGGAAAGATGTCTTGAGGGCATCTCAGGAATTGGCCAGACCCCATCTATTGCAAATTCAAGGGTGTAAAATTGTAAATTCATCTGAAAGACTTCTTTAAGAAGAGAGGACTCTGGGGACACTCTGATTGCACAGACACATCTAGGGAAGTTTTTTCCCAGGTTGTCACCCAGCCAAGGGGTCTGGCTACTGCTTGAGCTGATGGCAGACCTTGGCATTGTCCACATGGTGCTAGTTTTGCATGTGTGCAGAATCCAAGAGTTATGAGGTCATAGAGGCTTCCACTGAAATTTCAAAGAAACGCCTGGAAGGCCAAGAAATGTGTATCAGAGCTGACTTCCTGCAAAGAGCCTGTGAGAAGGTGAAGTTGAAGCTAAAGTAGAGACCCAAAGGTACTGGAGATGTCAGGAATGTGGGACATCTGCTGAAGCAAATGACAGGCAATGAATGGAGCCGCCCAAGAGAAAGCCACGTGGAATGCAGCTGGTAAGGCCATAGAAACCTAGCTGTCCCTGCCCACTGGAGCTCACATCAGGACATGACATCATGTGCCCAAATGCTAGATGTGGAGTTACAGTCTTAATTTTGCCCTGCTTGGTTTTGTGTTGCTTTGGTCTCATCCCTCTTTTTAATGCTCCTATTTTTGCCTTTTGGAATGGGAATGTTTACTCTGACCTATTGTATATTGGAAACATGTAAACTGTTTTTTGAGCCAGGTACTAGTGGCTTCCATATGTAATCCTAGCTACTTGGGAGGCTGAGATTGGGAGGATTGAGGTTTGAGGCAGCTCAGGCAAATAGTTCGCAAGATCCCACTTTCAAAATAACCAGAGCAAGAAGGTCTGGAGATATACCTCAAGCAGAAGAGTGCCTGCTTTGCAGTACGAAGCCCTGAGTTTGAAACTGACAGAACTGCCCCTTGTCACCTTCCTTTGCCCACCCCTAGACCTTACTTCAGCAGCTGGTCTCATCCCTTGCAGAACAAAGCCCCATTGTCCCTTATCTCCTGCCACCTCTCTGTCTGTCTCTAGCCCTTGTTTACTTAAGGCCAGACCCACCGAGAGAAGCTGCTGCGCCATTTTTTTCTTCTCGGCCACCCAGCCTGCTTATTAAACTTTGGACATGAGATACCTCTTGTGAGCCTCCTTTGTGTGCGGTGTGCAGTGTTTTCCTAACAGAAACCCCAATCCCACCCCAAAAAATTGTTATTATTTATTCATTTATTTTTGCCAGTACTTGGGATTGAACTAAGGGCCTTAAATGTACTAGCAAAAGCTCTACTACATGTACCATGCCCCCAGCCCTTTTGTTTGTTTGCTTTTGAGATAGGGTCTTATTAACTTTGCCCAGGCTGGCCTCACACTCACGACCCTCCTGCTGCTGCTTCCCAGTAGATGGGAGTACAGGTGTACAGGTGTGTGCCACCATGCCTGGGTGTGTTTTGATTTTTACAGGGACTCACAGCTAAAAACTGCCTTGAGTGTTAGAGGAGACTTTGAACTTGGCGTTTTGAACAATGTTGGAACTGTTAAGATTTTGGGCCTCATGGAGATGAACTAAACGCATTTCGAATTATGAGATGGCCATGAGTCTTTAGGACCAGGACAGAATATTATGATTTGAATATGAGATACTCTCTGCTGACTCATGTTTTGGAAGCTTAATCCCTAACTTGTGGAGCTATTTTTGGGAGGTTCTGAAAACTTTAGGAGGTGGAAGTTACCTGGAAGAACAGGTCACTGGGGGTGGGCCTTTGGGGGTCTCTTGAGCCTCTTCTTGTTTTGCTGTCTCTTTCCTATTTGCTATGGTATGAACTCCTCTGTTCCACAATGCCCTTCCTGTCACAATGGACTAACACCTCTGAAACTGTAAGCCAAAATAATTTTTCCCTTTAAGTTGTCACATCAGGCATCTTGTCACAGTGAAGACAAAAGTAACTAATATACCCATGCCACAAGGAGAGTCAGCTAGCACGCCAGCTGACCCCATTCACTGATGACCTTCTCTTTGAAACACTGTATCATGTCTCTGATGGTCATGCACACTAGCCATGTGGCTATCTTGAGAGACTACATATCATAACTGCTTGTTTTAACTGTACCACCTGGCAGCCCCTTTGATGTTAAGGATAAAAATATGGTAATTATTTAAGAAATGCCTAGGCCTCTTGACCCCTAAACTCCTCTGGCTGGGGGCCATCACTCGAGAGGATGAAGAGGTCCATGTACTATCCCTGGGGTTGAAAGCTCCACAATGAACATGGGTACTAAGGGACTGTCAAGTGTGAAGTGCTGACTTATGGCCTTTTCTACTCAGTTTCTAGAACAACATTCTAATATATTCCAGGGATCTGACCAGCCCAAGAGAAATCACTAAAATTCTAGAATCAGGGTCCTGGGTTGAAGGGTAGAGTCAGATTTCTAGAAAGGCTGTGGATGAGGAACCCATTCATGTGCAGAGCACCCACCTAATAAACCTGGTACTTCTACAGAAGTGAATGACCAAGGATCACAGACATTTAAGGGAAACCTCCAAGAAGAAAGAGGCCAAATTCGAGAGGGGGGACAAAAAAGGAACTTGGAAGAGCCAGACTTTGTAAGGAAAAAGAAAACAAACTTCAAAAACTATTGAGTTACCCTTAGAAAGATAAGGAAAGACTTAGTAATTGTGAAATTAGTATCAGACATTAGTTTCAAAAAACAAAAACAACCAGGTATGGTGGTATGTGCCTATAGTCCCAGCTACTTAGGAGGCTGAGGCAGAAGGATCATTTAAGCTCAGGAATTCAGGGCCAGCCTGTGTAACATAGTGAGACCCTATCACTTTATTTTTTACCTTTTTTTTTTTTTTTTTTGGAGACAGGGTGGCCTGGAACTCACGATGATTCTGTCTCAGCCTCCTGAGTCCTGGTATTATGGGTGTATGCCATGAAGTCCAGGTAAGACTGTTTCTTTTTTTTTTTTCCTGTTGATTTTTTTTCTTTTTTATTGTTTTATTATTCATATATGCATACAATGCTTGGGTCATTTCTCCCCCAAGACTGTTTGCTTAAAAAAAACCAAAAAAACAAAAAAACCAAGCCCCGTTTGGTGGTATATACCTACAGTTCCAGCACTTGGGAGGCTGAAGCAGATCATGAGTTTGAAGCCACCCTGGACTAGTGAGACCCTGACTCAAAAAGCAAAAACAAAAAAAATCAAGTAATAAACAAGTTCTTAGAGGTAGAATCCAAAATGAGAAAGCCAGGATGGAGGTGTAACTCAACAGTAGAGTATGTGTAGAGCAGGCAAGACTCAGGATATACTGGCAAGTCATAAAAATGGCTAAACTTTCATATTAAGAAGTAGTGATATACACATGTCATTATAAGAGCTACAGAGGTAAATACTAAAAGAACTCATTACAATTAAAAACAATTGCTTCTGAGAAACAGGAGAGGTTAAGAGGTAAATTTTCCTAAAAGTAATTATTATATACAAAGCAATATACAATGTAGATACAGTTTTACAAAGTTTTATCAAAATATACAAACTATGTGATTCCTGATCACCAACTTTCACCTCAAAGATGCCATGTGGATGATAATGGAAATCCATAATCCTGATATTAGCTAGATCTGAAGGTGGGAGAATGGACTCAAGAGCAAGGGGCTTCAAAGTTTTCAAGCTTCCTTCCTTTGAAGGGTCTTCTCAAGGTCAGATCAACTTCTGACTTTGGGGGGCTCTGAACTACAGAGGTCACAGAGCCTGTGGGAGCCTCATCTTTCTCCTCAGGTTGTTGAAACAGATAACATCTAAGGCACATTCTATATTCTGAGTCATGTGGCAGTCAAGTTGACATTCATAAAATATCAAATCCCTAAGAATGGCAATCAAAAGTAAAGAAGGGAGTATTGGTGTTCTATTTTTTGGTTTTGGGTTTTTTGTTGTGCTGGGTGTCAAACACACACATACTAGGTAAGCACTCTACCAGTGAGCTGCACTCCCAATCCCATGGTGTGCTTTTATATTAAAATAGTGGAAATAGGTGGGAAATGGCTCAAGATATACTGCCAGGTTTACCATGTAAGGTATAAGCAGTGGCTAAGAAATTAAAACTTCAAGGTCAAACAGAAAGGAGAATTTGAAGAGAAGTGGAGTTTTCCCAGGTAATAGCACTTTTCCCCTCTTTATGTTCCACAGATTGCTGATCATCTCCCTTTCTTTCATGGAATGAAATGACCCAGCATTCTTGAGGACAAGGAGTGGGTAGAAGTTATGAGGACTGAACTGAGAGTCCTGTGCACTCTCCCATTGAACTATACCCACAGCTGACCCATGTTTTTAAAAAATGAAACTTGATGATGTAATTTAAAAATGCATATGAAAGAGCAAAGGGCAGTAGTCAAGACATACGTTCAGAAATTCCTGGTGAGGGGGAACTTCCTCCACCAGCTTCCTCTACCATCAATATAAAATCGTAGTGATTCACTGTACCAATACAAGGATAGACAAGTACACATCAGTGGAGTAAAAAAGAGTCCCGAAAAAGAGCACACTCGAAAAGTGCACCACAGATGGTGCAGAAAAAGACGGGGTAGCCAACAACTATACTGGAACAACCCCTTATCCTTTTTTATTTTTTTTTTGGGTGGGGCTGGGATTTGAACTCAGAGCTTCGAGCTTGCAAAGCAAGTGCTTTACTTCTTGAGCCACACCTCCAGTTCATTTTGCTTTGACTATTTTGAGGATAGGGTCTTGAGAACTATCTGAACTGTGATCTTCCTGATCTCAGCCTCCCAAATAGCTAGGATTACAGGTGTGAGCCATCATCATCCAGCTCCCTTATCCTTATGGAAAAAAGTAAAGCAGATCCTTATCTTACACAAAAATAACTGCAAGTGGAATTAAACTTGAATTCAAGTTAAAAGTGAACAGGACAATGGAACAACTTTAAAACATTCAGAACATGGAGGAAAAAAACAGTCTGGGCTGGAGGAGTGGCTCAAGTGGTAGAGTGCCTGTCTAGCAAGCATGAGGCCTTGAGTTCAAATCCCAGTACCACTAAACAAACAAACAAACAAACAAACCCAAAAACAGTTTGGCAGAGGGAAGGAGAGCTGTTAGCTCCAGAAAAGGGGGAGGAATGAACCAAAGGAGCACCTCAAAGTTACTGGCTATGTTCCAACTTTTAAGTTATGTAAAAATCTTAATTCGTGTATTTAAATAATATGTAAATGCCATACATATCATCTTATATGGTAAAATGCATCTATGAGTATTGGTATCACTTATTATAAATTAAGAAATTATAAACTAAAATGTACATAAACATATATGCTGGAGGTTTTTTGGCAGTACTAGGGGGCTGAACTCAGGGCCTCATGCTTGCTAAGCAGGTACTGAACCACTGAGCCACTCACTGGCCCTTTTTTGCATTATCTTTGAGATAGGGCCAGGGCTAGCCTGGACCATGAACCTCCGATTTGGGCTTCCTCAAATAGCTAGGATGGCAGGTGTGGACCACCATATCCAGCCATTGGTTGAAATGGGATCTCTCAAATTTTTTGCCCTGTTGACCTCAAATCATGATCTTCCTGATCTGCTTCCCAAGAAGCTAGGATTACAGGCTTGAATTACCACAGCTGGTTAACATATACACTCTTTTGTTCCAATGATACATTTCACATATTAAAAAGTAAAATAACCCTTACCTGTGCAGGTATTGGAGATTAGATACCTTCCCTGACTCCCCTTCAAGGGTGAAATCTCTCTGTTTCTGAAGAAAGTGAAAAAGGTAAAAAGTAAAACTCTTATCTTTGGCTCTCACTACCCCCTTCACTGGTGTGCAGTCTCAAAGATCAAGGCTCTACTAGCATACAGAATGACAGGGTCTCCCAGTTGCCTCTTGCGTCTAAAAACTGGCCTTGAGTAATAGAATTCTGAGCAATGGTCAGTTGAGGCTTCCTATCCACTGCTCCCAGTGTTTAACCCCAAGCATTAAAAACAGCCAGTCAAGTCCATAGTTCCCCTTTAGGGTCTGTGCCTTAGAGCCAAGTTCTACTCTTTGTGCACTGTGCTGTAACAGCCTGTCTTAATGGCCGGCTAAATCCTAGCTGCCCAAGTTATCTACATTTTGGCCTCCAGACTCTGTGGAGAGATGTCACCTTACACAGTAGAAGAGACTGCAGTTGTGATTAAGTGTCTGAATTATCCAGATGAGTCCAGTGTAACCAGAGGTCCTTCAAAGAGGGGAATGGAAGGGAAGTGACAGAGAAGATGTAGGGTTGGAAATGAAAGCGGAGGAGAGAAGACACTGAGCTGCAGGCTTTGAAGATGGAGGAAGAGGTCACAAGTCAAGGAAGGCAGGTGGCCTCCAAGAAGCCAAGAAATACACTCTCTGGCATACTGAGAATAGATTCTACCTGTGGTCCCTTTTGGCTTCTGAAAGGAAGAGCCCAACAAAGCCACTTTAGATGGCTAACCTCCTCAAGTGAGGATAATAAATTTGTGTTGTTTTAAGCCAAGGTTTATGTGCTAGCTACTGTAATCCCAGCACTGGGGAGGCTGGGATTAGGTATTAGGTATTAGGTATTAGGATATTATTATTAGGATCAAGAGTTCAAAGCTAGCTTGGGCTACAAAGTGAGACCCTGAATCAAAAAAACCCAAAAAAACAGGTGGATTCATCAATAGGTAAGAGACTTACAGAGGGATAGTACGTAGGACTGGTGACAGGGAAGAAAGACAAAATGGTTTTGAGGTTTACAGCCTTAGAGACTGAATGGATCACAATGGTAATATTATTAGAAAAACAGAGCACCAGAGATGTGCGCCTGGATAAGAATTTGAAGCCACAGATGAAACCATTAGAAGGAACGGAGCACTGAAAGATGAATTTCTTAACCTGTTGGAGCCCAGAGACCATTGTTGCTTATCAGCTGACCAACATATCTAAAAACATACCAGTGGCTAAGAGAATAATGCACTGAGACCACTGGCACTGCGTTCAAGAACAGGGAGACCTGAAGAGGAGCTGAACCCAAGGCAAGAGCTGATGGTTTACCTGATCAGGTTTGAGCTCTTCCCGAACAGCCTGGATGGCATCCCGACACTCGCTGAGCATGGATTCAAACAGGCGCTCCTTGGTTTCTTCGCTTTCAGCCTAAACAAAGGTAGAATGGACTAAGAGACTTTTTTTTTAGTAAGCCATAGTATTTTAACTGGACAGCAATTTGATCTTCCCACACACACACACACACACACACACACACACACACTCACCTGCCCCAAATCAGATCCTTTTAATTGTCACTATTCTCTAATATAAGGTTATTATATAGCCTTATCCACCTTTCATATGGAAATGGAAAATGTATTTACAAAGTGATGGATCCTTAAATGTCTTCCCATCACAGAGCTTTCCCTACTTTCCTCTGATGCTTCTGCTTCTACTTCTACTCAGGATGAGTATCTAGCACCCCGAGAAGGGTCTCAGAGACTATATTTGGGATGATGTTCCCTCATACTGAAGCACAGCACATCAGAAGCTTCTTTCCTTTTTTCCCTTCCAGAACACTGTCAAGCTCACTCGTATGCCAGCAGAACTACTCAACTTGCAGATTCTGGATTTGTTTTAGGTCCAAGCAAGTAATAAAAAACATTACTAATTAATATTCAACCAAACAGATGTTTCACAAGCCAGACGCCAATGGCTCATGCCTATAATCTTGGTTATATAGGTTGTTAAGATTTGGAGGATCATGGTTCAAGGCCAGCACAGGCAAATATTTCAAGAGACCACCCTCTCCAAAATAACCAGAGCAAAATGGATTGGAGGTATGGCTCAAGCAGTAAAGCGCCTGCTTTGCAAATGCAAAGCCCTGAGTTCAAATCCCATCCCCTCCCCAAAAAAAAGATATTTCTCCTAAATATCTCACTAAATTCTCTTCCCCACAGACATTCTGCACTCTAGATGTTCCACATGGCCTACTCTGCAAACAACTTTTAGGGCAGACAAGGTTGACAAGAATGAGATGACAGCTCTAACCATCTAGGTTTGAGGATTTAAAAAAAATGAAGAATGAGATGACAGTCTTTTTTACAAGTACTGGGCGGCACCCTCTGCTACACAGCTGGCATAAATGAAAAAGTGATTCATTAACTGAATACCTGCCAAACCACATTATCATCCTAAAGAATCTGATGGAGAAGGTGGGAACAGATGAAAGGCAGAAAGGAGATGAACTTGTGTTACTGGCAGACCCACCATGAAATTCAAACATCAACATTCCATTATTATATTTGACTTTCCACAGAAACTAACATTCAATCTGGGAAAAAAAAAAAAAAAGGTCTTGACCTTCAACTGACTTCTAAGACAGCACAGAAGAAAGCACAGTATGCCCACTCCTTTAGAAGACAGATGGAAGGAATGTAAGGAAAAACTTCTTAAGAACTCTTATGTTTTTCCCAGTTTCCCGTGTGAAAAAAATCACCCCTGTAACTTACCCAACCTAAATCAAACACACTACTCCACTCATGGGTTACTTGACGTTCCTGCTGTTTGCTAACCTAGGAACAAATCAGGGCCACAGGCATCCTGTGATTCTAAAGCAAACATGGCCCCAATAGCTCACCTCTACCCAATGGATCTCTGAAGCGAAGGAAGTGCTCTCTACTGCACTGTCCAACGCAGCCTGCAGGAGTCACACATGGCTACTAAGCACTTGGGATCTGGAGTAATGAAATGCAACTGGCCACATGTGTAGATATACAGAAAAACACTTCACAGAACACTGGTAAGCACCTCACATTGGCTAGATTCTTTTTAGTCAACCCTCTTGGTCAAATTTTTCCAATTGCAATTCCTTTGGCATGATGTAGCTGTATAATACTTAACAACTGGAGCAAGATATGCGAACCCCCTCGGCACCATTCAAGAAACTAAACAGCCAGCTGGGCACTGGTGATTCACGACTGTAATTCTAGGTTCTTGGAAGGTTGAGATCGGGAGGACTGAGTTTCAAGAGTCTCCATCTCAACCTATAGCCAGGCATGGAGAAGACTGAGGGAGGATTGAGATTCCAGGCCAACCCAGGTAAAAAAAGTTGTGAGACCCCATCTCAATGGAAAAAGTTGGGTACAGTGGTCATCCCAGTTACGCAGGAAGTGTAAAATAAGAGAATCATAGTCCAAGCTGGCCTAGGAAAAAGCAGAGCCTTAACTCCAAAACCTGACCACAAAGGGCTGAAGGCAGAGTTCAAGTGGTAGACGACCTGCCTAGCAAGCCCGAAGCCCTGAATTCAAACCCCAGTACCAACAAAGAAATTACACTGCCAACCACATGTGTGGGCCAACCACATTTCATCAGCAGGAAGAATGAACCTCAGTGCCAGTTTGAATATCATGCAATCCAACAAACAGGCCACTAGTACTCCTCTTCAGAAAGGTGGAGTTTGGTGGCAATCGGTATAATAGTAAGAAAAGAACAAGGTTCATTTTATACCAGCCACACAGAATCTGTCTCCTTTCCTGTTGGGACAGTATGGTTCAAATTTTAAAATTACAATGATGCTACAATGCTAAATCTCTTTACTGCCACATATTACCCTTGTTTGCTGTGACAGTCAGCATCAGGGTGCTGAACACAAACAAACTTCCCCACTGCTCCCACACAATTCTTAAGTCCACTGGGGATTTTATAAAAGTCTTAAATAGCAGTGAAAGAAACATGTCTGAAGGGGAGGTCTGAGGAGAACTTGTCATGATCCTCCGTGGCGGGGCAAAATGTCTCTAAACAGGAAGCCTTAGATCTATTTTACTGCTTCAGGAGTGATGCCAAGATCACTCCTGAAAGGATAATGGGATGAGACACACCTCAACATGTAGAGGCAGGGCACCTCTCATCCATGTGCCAACCTTCCATGTCTGCAGCTGAGCCAACAAGGACATGTTCCTAAACACAAGCAGTGAAGTCCCTGCATAAATCTGTGCCTACGACACAGAGAAATCTTAGGTTCAAAACAATATGCTACTTGTTAGTCCTAATAAATAAAATAAATACATCCCAGATTCCTTTTCATAAAATTTGAAACACCCAGGATGTGCCTCAGGTTCTCTTCTCAAGCCATGACCCCAGGCTACCTGGTGCAGAGGTCACCTGGCTGCTGTGTACCCTGCTATTAAAGACAGAGCCCACGTTGTTTTCACTTGTCTATAGAAATTACTGGAAGATGGTGGTGTGACTAAGAGGCAGACAAGGCAAGTCTGGCCACATTCCCCACCACACCCATAGAAGAACAGTAGGGATGGGGACCAAGTCTCACCCACCAGTGAAGGTAGGAAGAAAAACATAGGAAGAGGGGACAAACCTCACTTGAGAATAAATTTTCTTTTCTGTAGGACATGACCTTATTTATTTTTTGGCGGGACTGGGGTTTGAACTTAGGGCTTCAGGCTTGCCAAAGCAGGCACTCTACCAACTTGACTCATACCTACAGCCCTAGATTTTCTTTTTTAAAGAAAATACAAACATCAAAAATTTAATCACAGGTGGGCTCGTGGCACATGCCTATTATCCCAGCACTAGAGAGGCTGAAGCAAAAGAATTTTTAGTTCAAGGGCAGTCTAGGCTACATAGCAAGATGCTATCATCAAAAAAATAAAACAAAACAAAAAAACACAAGAACAAAAACAACCAGAACTTGAGCCTACTTGCATTCCCCGAAAGAGCTGCTCAAGAATAATCTTGCAATGCAGCCACCAGTGACCCCTCAGGAGAGATCAAGTATTAAGAACGCAAAATAAAGTAGAAACTAAGACAGTATTAAGGATGAAGATGTAAAGCTTGGCTAGAGACACTGAGGACTTTGCAACCAGAATTTAGCAGCTGATTAACTCTCAGCTAGAATCTTTTCAGTCTAATATTTTACCACCCTAAATTATTTCTCTTCCATTCTTTTCAAATAAACTGATGTTTTAGGATTTAAGTGTCATAAAAACCTCTATACTCAAGCAATAAACTGTGGCTACCAAACTCTTGCATTCCAGGTTTTGAAGGTAACAGATACCAATACCAGTGGGGATCAGAGACACTGAAATTAAGCAGCCAGTATCTCTAAGGCATAGCACTTGATTCCAAAATAGAGAACAACTCAACACGATATTGAGAACTGGCCAGGCACCCATGTTATATCCAGCCAAATAATCTGACAGGATCATCACTGAGGAAGTGGTTTTTCTAAGATTAACCTCAATTGGCCAAAGGGCATTTCCTATATTTAATGACTCATGGATCATTCAACAGATATATAATCAGCTATACTGCTAGACCTGGCATCTAAGGATTTAACTAGATACTCAGGGTCTTATGGAAGGGGGAAAAAAAAAAGGGAAAAATTCATCTAGGAAAACCTTCAATACATCATCATATATAGTGCTATAAATGTCTAATAATAGACACACTTTAAACAGGCATTTAAAAAAATAGACCCACCATTCTGTGTTGTGTATTTTGTGTGTGTGTGGGCAATACTGGAGCTTTAACTCAGGGCTTACACCTTGAGCCACTTCACCAGCCCTTTTTTGTGAAGGGTTTTTTCCAGACAGGGTCTTGCAAACTATTTGCCTGGGCTGACTTCGAACCTCAATCCTCTTGATCTCTGCCTCCTGAGTAGCTAGGATTACAGGTGTGAGGCACCAGCACCCGGCTTATGTATGTTTTTGTTTTTTGTTTTTTTTTTTAATTTTATTTTGTCATTTTTACATTTACTTACATGTGTATACATTGTTCGGGCCACGTACCCCCCCCACCCCCCTTCTTTTGCTTGTTTTGAGAAAGGGTCTTGCTATGTAGCACAGGCTGGACTCCAACTCACTATCCTCCTGCCTTCATCTCCCGACTGCTGGGATTACAGGTGAGGGCCACCACACCACAGCTTGTTGTATATGTTAAAGATGGATATTAAATAGAATATATGTAGTTAATTTCACAGACATGCATCTAAACTAACGATTGCATGAGGATACAAGTAGCAGTTGTGCTGACATGGCTAACTGCATTCTCTTTTTATCTATTCAAGTTTGGAGTGATGTTGGTCTACTTTTTCTTGCCAGTAGCATCAATTTTGGTCGATCTTAAACTGCTTTTTTCCCCTGGTGCTGGGGATTGAATCTGGGGCCCTGAGCATGTAAACATATGCTCTACAACTGAGCTATCCCCCTAACCCCTTGAAATGCCTTAGAAGGGGTGGCTATGACCTACGTGTCCAGAAATCAACCCTTCAATTACACTGAAAGTCAAGTTTGAGAGTGTTGCTATAAGAAACATGCGTAGGGGTGAGTGCTAGGGCACATGCTTAGCATGTCCGAGGCACTGGTTCAGTCCCTAGGACTGAAAGAACAAATGTGTACAAAGCTCAACTATTCACCACATAATTGAAGTGCTCTTCAATTTGTTTTTTCAAGCTGGGCAGCCATGGCTTACACATGCAGTCCTTGCTATGTGGAAGGCTGAGATTGGAAGGATCGTGTTTTGAGGCCAGCCTGGGCAAGAAGTTAGTGAGACCCCATTCTCAACCAATAGCTGAGCGCAGTGGCACATACCTATTATCCCAAGTTACACAGGAGGCTGAAACTGTGAGGAGCATGGTCCCAGGCCAGCCCAGGCAAAAACGTTTTTGAGATCCCATCACAATGGGAAAAAGTTGGGGATGATAGCATGCACCTGTCATTCCTGCTAAACTAGGAAGATCCTGGTCCAGACCAACCTAGGCAAAAAGCAAGACCCTAACTCCAAAATAACCAGAGCAAAAAGGGACAGAGGTATGGCTGACGTGGTAGTGCCTGCCTAGCAAGCAAGAAGCCCTGAGTTCAAACTGCAGTACCAGTAAAAATTAAAAATTTAAAGAGTATTTTCTTTTTTTCAATGCTTGGGATCGAACCCAGAGCCTTCTACACTCTAGGCAAGTACTCTACCACTAAGCTACATACACCTGCAGTCTGATCTTCAATTAATAAAAAAAAAGCTTCAAAAGATATCTGTGGACTGGGGCTGTAGCTCAATGGTAAAATGGTAAGAGTGTGGACTTAGCTTACACAAGGCCCTGGGTTCAATCCCTAGCACAAACCAAAACCAAGCAGACCGTCGTTTATATCTTCTAAACTTTAAGTACTACTTTTTCAAAATCCCTTAATGTCAGCTTTTCTAGATATTTACCAAGACAGGTCTGTGGCCCCACCCTTCAGGGGCCTCCATTTAATTTACCCCATGTAGGTCATGCACCCCCTTCCTATTATAGACAGAATTCCTGCCACGTTGTCCCTGGAGCCTAGCACAGAACGCAAACAGTTTTTTTCACCTAGCATTTGTGACTTTGTAACTACAAAAACAAACAAAAACAAACAAACAAAAAAAACCAATCACATAATTTAAGCAGTTTTTACCAAAGCCCTGGTCCAGAGGTACTCTAATCCAACAATGTCAATGGAACACGCTCCAAAATATTGCTGAGTCTCTTAGTTTAGGAAAAAAAACTAACTTTCTAGTTCTACTCTAGCATTCTGTCCTTTAAGCAAATAAAAGGGAAATAAGAGAGTAATAGGCTACACAGACAAGGCCACAGATAAAATTTTTCAGTTGCTGAAAGTTGTCCCCAACCCAAAAAAGTAGCCATTTTGGAGTAAAGTCATTGAGAACTTTGGATGCTTAAAACAACTCGTCAACATAACAGAGCACCCTTTCATATCCTATACACAAATGATTTGGGGTGCATCAATGTCTTAGAAACTCCTCTGATCCTTGGAGAGGCCACAGTCAGCAGCCTGATTTTTTTTTTTTTTTAAAGATGCTCTTTACACATGGAGCAGAGCTCTAATTTTAATCACTTCTGCCTCATACAATCCAAGATTACCAGGATCTCTCATCATTGTGGATGCACTTGGCTGCTCACAGTCACAAACAGGTAATTGTATCAGTAAGTAGCTTCAAGTACGACTTCATATGAATATTATATGTTTACCACACACAGAACAAGATATTCTAGTTTAACCAGGCTCTCCTGAAAAGGCCCAGGAACAGCAGACGTGAACCTGTGGACTAGGAGTTGAGGACACAGAGACTTAAGGGACATAGCTTAAGTGCTATGACTTAAGGTGGTGCTGCTGCACCACCTGCTGGGCCAAATGTGCCCCTTTCCTTTAAGCCAGCCTCTCACCACTCTCATTCTGATGACTGTCACTGTCAATTTCTTTGCCCCTATAGTTGGTTTTCAAAATATTTTTGTTCATGAAGATATACTGCTAGACTTACCAACTCCCAAACAGCATTAATATAAGTCCTTGCTTTGTGAGAAAGGAATACCCACAGTCCACTGCATCTTGAATACTCAGGATGACCTCAGACACACACACAAGAAAGCATAGTGGGGAGGGACTTCCTCCTTACCTGGGCAATGGCTGCTTCGTTATCAGCCAATCCCAATAAGAAGATCCTCACTTTGTCGATCTTCACTGGCACGGTTCGCCCTCTCCATTCCACTTCACTCATGGTGGCTGCCTGCTTGGCTCGAGTCTGAGTGATCAAGGCCTGGAAAGCAGTTCAGGGGAACTGTTTGTCTCTTTCTACAACCAACACTGTATCCGTGTAAGAGTGTGCAGAAGTTCTACATGCTACCATGGATAGCATGGCAATGACCAAGTTCATATTAGTACTTCTGCTGGATTTCTTCACACCAAAGCTTTTATAAAGATGTACATACTAGATTACCTCCAGTTTTTCAGCAAGGAGACCCTCGGTACCCCCAGATCTCAATCTCATCTGCATGAGTTCATTGATAGCTGACTGGTCCCCTGAGAGAGAGAGAGAGAGAGAATATGAGAATATCTCTTTTAAGGGTTTGTTTCCTTGAGAACCACTTAATTCAGCTCAGACTTACATGAGCTCCCTCACCCCCATCACATTTCTCTGAGTCTGCAGCATGATCTGTTCTCTGAAGCAGAAGTCCTTTTCACAAAGAATGAACATGGCTGGGGCGGTGACAACACTGCATGGCACTGCAATGTGGATAATGTCACAATTTGTCCAAGCATACAGTGTCAATTTCAAGAGTGAACCCTAATGCAAACTATGGATTTGGCAACGAAGGCTCATCAGCTATAGCAAACGTACCACTCTGGTGGCGAAGGATGTGCATGTGTGGGAGCAGGGTCTATTTGAAAAATCTCTGTACTATTTTCACTGTGAACCTAAAACCTCTCTAAAAAAAGTTTAAAACGACCTGGTGTGGAGACTCAAGACTGCTCCTAGAGTGTAGAAAAGATGGCAGATGGAAACAGAAGTCAAGGTACCGCCTTCTGCAATTTGAGCAGGGCTGATTTAGAAAGTGAAACTCTTTGGGCCCTCTGAGGAAAGTTTAATGCTCAAGTCAGGAGCACTGCTCTCTGGGCCTGCTCACCAATATTATATGCACAGTAGCGGATGTTGGGTGAGATCTCTTCCACACGCTGGTTATACAGAACAGCCTGCTCCTCTGTGAAAGCACTGGCAAGCTTCTCATAGATAGTTCTGCGAGCAAAGAAACATGAGGTTTTACAACAGACTTATTTTAAGAAAATGAATTCACAAAGACCACGTTGCTATAAACAATACTCAGCCCTTTGAAGCTCTTCTACCAACTGCCAGAACTGGCATGTTCTAAGGATGAAAGTGAGTAATTAACATTTCTATGAGGGGGAAAAACCCTCCTAACTTTTACAGAAACAAGCTAATAGGGGCTCCAACAAGCTAATGTGCAGCTCCAATATCACTAATTACAATCAAAACTGGCTATAACCTTTAAACCAGAGGACTTACTTGCATTTGTTAAAAGCCTCAATGGCAGCTTTCCACTCTTGATGTTCAAAGCGCAGCATTCCTGAGAGGTAAGCCGTGTAAGCCTGTAAGGGATGGAAAAAGAACTGCTTCAATGCAAAGAACCAGTGTTCTGGCATCATCTTCTGAAGGCTTCAAACTCTGATATCAAGACTACAGAGACATACTTGGGAGGCAGAACTGGCAGAGTGGCTCAAGTGGTAGAGTACTTGCCTAGCAAGCATAAGGCCCTGAGTTCAAACCCTACTGCAGAAAAAAAAAAAATGAGTTGGGAGGCAGAGGAGGATCTCAAGTTCAAATTCGGCCTGGGCTAAATAGCGAGTTCAAGACCAACCTCAGTTAAACCATGACAACCCATCTCAAAAAACAAACAACAAAAAAGAGGGAATATGAAGATATATTTCTGACTTAAATAGAAAAACCTCCTTAATCAAATGATACCTAGGTAATTTTTTACGATTCATTACTTTCTAAAAAAGAACTTCAAAATAAAGAAAATAGTTTGTGGGCTATAACATAAGCATCAAAAGTTGAATACAGGAACAGTATTCAACTGTGGCTCAAGTGATAGGCTGTTGCCTAGCAAGCACAAGACCCTGAGTTCAAACCCCAGTCCCACTAAAAACAAAAAGCAAATTTCAAAACAAACTCTGACTTTGTGAACTTTCTCAGGTATAAGATACAAACTTTCCATTTATAAACCAAAAGCTACCTGATCTTTCTCAAAAAGTCTGAGCTAATTATAAAAATCAAGAGCTCAAGCACAAGACACTAACTTCACTTTTTAAAAGCAAGATCAGGGGTGGGGGTAGAGCTCAGGGGTAGAGAAGTTGCCTAGCTCACAGGAGGCCTTGGGTTCCACTCCCAGCACCCCAAAAAGAAAAAAGATCAGAAAGTTTTTTCCTCTTCTATCAGTTTATAATGTAAGAAACTATTCTGTTTAACAGTAGTTTTTTTTTCTGTCACGTGTCTAATTTCCATAATAAAGCCAAACTAGATGTTAAGACATTAACCTGAGCCTCTAACTTGGTCTTGGCATCCACACGATTGCTCTCACACAAGCGTTCCAATTCTTCTGCATGCTTCACAGCTTTGCGAAGGCGAGATAGCAAGTGAAACCGTTTTCGAGGTTCAGTGTTGGCTTCCTGTTTGAGCTGCATGGCGTAGCTCCAGGCCCTTTCAGCATCCATCAGAACCAGCAGCAAATATCTAGACCAGAGAGAGGTGGGAGCCTGAACGTCGAAGGCCAGGAGCATAAGACTCATGTATATTCTCTCACACTTCACAACTTTTTCTTACTTTGTCCCTCTCAACCCTCCCTCAGAACTCCTCTTCCCACAGTATCAGCCACAGCTCCCAAGGCAGCATGTCTGACTTCAAGTTGGACACCCCCTCAGGCTTCTAGTCATCTACTGGACACATCACACTGAAAAGCCTCTACCAAGCCAGGCACAGTGGTTCATACCTATAATTCCAACACTCAGGAAGCTGAGGTAGAAAGAGAGTTCAAGGCCAGCTTGGGCTACATAGCAAGACTCTGCTTCAAAAAACCAAAAAGTAGACTGGAGGTGTGGCTCAAGCAATAGAGCACCTGCTTTGCCAGCATGAAGCCCTGAGTTCAGTCCCATCAGAAAAAAAAAATTTGCTGGGTGCCAGTGTCTCATGCCTGTAATCCTACCTGCTTAGGAGGCACCAGCCAAGTCAAACAGTTTGTGAGACTCTATCTTGAGTCTCAAAAAAGGGCTAGTGGAATGGGTCAAGTGATAAAGTACCTGCCTAGCAAGCGTTGAGGCTGAGTTCAAACCCTAGTACCACAAAATAAACAAGCAAATAAATAAAACAAAAATAAATAAATAAAAAAGAAAGAAAGAAAAAGCCTCTACTACCTCAAACTCAGCAAACTCAGACTCTTGATTCCCCCTCCTAAATTCCGTCAAACACAGGCAATTGAGGCAGATGATCTGGCTTCACCTTTGATAATCGACACCTCCTTCACCCCAACCCAGTCAGAAATCAAATCCTTACAAGGCAGTTTGCTGTGCCAGCATAGTGGTGCTCACCTGTACTTCCAGCACCCAGGAGGATGAGGTGAGACAATAATGAGTTTAAAGTCAGCTTGGGCTACATGGGACAGCATGTCTCAAAAAAAAAAAAAAGGTGGTATGTGAAGGAAAAGGGCTCCAGAGCCTGGGTTGGAATCCCAGTGCTTTCACTTACTAGCTATGTAACTTTGAGCAAAGTAGTAGCCTTTCTGTGCCTCACTCTACTGTGAAAGTAATATAAATGACTCACACCAGAGTTGTCAGCTCCTCACTGCTCAATAAGCTAACTCCTTTACTACTGTTCTGGTGAACCTTAAATTACAGTCTTCATTAATCTTCTCTAAACTTTGGTTTAATCTTGTCAATCCAATATAAAGGATCTTGGGGATGGAGTTATAGCTCAGTGGCAGAATAATCTAGGGTTCAATCCCCAGCACCACAAAAATAAATAAAAATTAAAAGTGAAGGATCCTGCTATCATAAGAGAATCTAAGTTTCTTAATTTCTGACTCTTCCTAACTGGACCTCAGTAGACCTAATCATTTCATCCTGTTGCATCCTGTCAGTCTCTGCACACAGGTTTTCTGGCTGTGTCCCCCACACCAGGTTCCCAGTCTCTTCATGCCCCACAGCAGCTACTATTCAGAGCTGTACAGTTCCTATACCACACAGATACCCTGATAAAGAATGCTCTTTCCTCTCACAAGTCCTTCGAGGTCAAGCCTCCTTCACGTAGACTTACTTACTTCCCCGAGACCTCATAATGTGCCACAGTACTTCCTGGCTTTGCACATCACCAACATCTCTCAACGAGATCACAAAGAGGCTCAAGAACAAATTTTAGGTTTTCCAGGCCACAGTCTGCTACAACTACTGTCCTATTTTAACACAAAAGTAGCTGTAAACTCCCAGATGAATGGGCATGGCTATGTTCCAGTAAAACTATTTACACAAGTAGGTGGCAGGAAGACAATCAATCCAGACCAAATCGAAGGTGAGGAATTGACCTGGAGACAGTCAATACACATTGCTTGGCAGATCCAATCCTTCAGCAAGTGGTAAATAGTGGTGTCTTCAGCACTGAACAGTGAGTCCTGAAACTCACTTGCAGACAATGTCACTAATATACATTGATTTAAGCACTTGCATTGAAATTTATGCTCTAGGAACCTAACAACTGATTAAATTCTTATCACTGACTTTGAACATTTATCATCCCAACAGTTCTTGAACAAGCTACCGAATCTGAGTCTTAGTTTCTTTACCTTTGAACACAGAAATAGTTTGAAAAAAAAAAAAGAGTCCATCCCACAGAGCTACTAAGATAGGCACATGAAACAGTTAAAAGTCTGGCATAATGTCTGGCAGACTGCACATCATAACTGTTCAATAAATGTATTAGCGAGATGTATTTAGCACACTCCACTGAGCACTTAATACCTATTATCAGTGAGAAGATCTTCGGTTACTTTTTTCCCGGTGAACTTATGTCTGTTCCCCATCTTAAAATTGAGTGTTTTTCGAAGACGTCTTTGTCTGCGGGAACAGTAGCCCCTATAAGAAAACACAAACAAAACTAACTATTCAGCTAAGCTCTAGTACTTTGAATAGGAGATCCCATTATAAGGCAAGGTCAGAGCTGGGTACTCTGTGTGACTACAGTTATCACCCATCAGCTGGCAAACATTTACTGAACAATTAAAACACGCAGGGCAACATGACTGCTGTCACAGAAAACAAAGACACAGAGGACATGATGCCCATTCTCAGGACCCCTCACTCTAGTAGGGAAGATAATGTGTATAAAAATGCAATCAAGAAACAAAGCAAATGTCAAGTTGAATGTACATGAGCAATCACTCTGTTCTTGCTCGCACTTTTGACTAGACTGGACTAACGTGGGCCTGGAATGAATGAATAGGATTCTGATGGATACAAAGCGGGGGAAAGGGCATGAGAGGGAGAATGATGACAGACATAGAGAAAGGAACTGCACGTGTGAAGAAAAATGAGGAGGCCAATGAGGAGATCACCAAGAAACCTACAAATGCCACCTCTATGCCAAGCCTCCTTCCTCTATGCTCATATAGCCCTCTATTCTTCTCTTATAGCACAGGGTATTATAATTATGTTCTTACATAGCTCTCCCAATAATATAAACCCCCTTTCCATAGGGGAAAATTTATTTTTAAACTTCCCACAATGCCTTAGCATTATGTCTAGCACACAGACGTTCAATAAATATATACTTTGATTAGCGTGACATATACATATAAGATACATACATATGTAAAATACACATGCCAAATTTTAAATCAAAATAATATAGCATAAACTTTACAATATAAAATGATATTTAAAAGCACTTCAGCATCTCAATCTATGCCCTGGCAGGGAATAGTTTATAAAAAAAAAAGAAACAATAAGGCTGGTGTGTGTCTCAGTGCAGTGGCAGAGCACTTGCCTAGTCTGGGTTGAATCTATGAATGGGCTCTTTTTCTCTCAATTCTCAATGTCAGCTTTAATTACCATTCACCCTTTCACATGAAAATCAAATGCGATGCTCACACATCATGATAAAACCTTTTTGGCACTATGACTGTTTATTGAGATTCCTAAAATGTTCAGAAACACAAAAATGTATGAATAAAGATTCAAGGGATCTTTTTTCCTTTCCTTTCTTTCATTTTTTTCTTTTTTTTTTTGTGGTGCTGGAAATGGAACACAGGGCCTTGTGCATGGTAGGCAAGCACTCTACCACTGAGTTACACTCCCCCCAGACCATGGGAACAAGAATGTGGGTGCTGAAGAAATAATTAACTTGTGGGAACTGGTAAATAAATTTTTGTATGCCTATCTATTGGATAACGCAATAAAAATCATGAATAGACAATATTTTTATAGACATGGAGAAATACATACATATAATTTTCAGCAAAAAAAAAAAGGGATACAAAGTAATTTATACAATATAACTAAATTTATGAAAATGCTGAAAGACTAAAGTCCAAAAGTACTATTTGGTGAACACAAAAACATTTTTGCATTAAAAGACATAAAACTGGGCAACATAATACATAAGTCATAACACAACTATCGGGGCAGATAGCTCACAGGACGGGTGGCTAAAGGGGATACTAACATCCCCTTTGTTCTGTTTGTCTAACGTGAAAACATTAGCAGTTATATTTCTGGATATTGAGGATGTGGGTATGCTTTATTCTATAAAGAATTTACCTGCATTTTCATTTCTAAAATACATGTAAAGAACTACAAATGGCTATTTATTTTTTGCAGGGTTGGGGAATGACCAAAGGGACACATGCTAGAGAAGCACTCTACCACTGAGCTGCACCCCCAGCCCAGAAATACAGATGGCCTCTAGCACAGGATGCACAATTCACTTATGATTAAATAAATGCAAACAAAAACCACTAAAAAAATTAAACAAAGACTGGAGATATGGCTCAAGCGGTAGAGCACCTGCCAGGTGAGTGGGGCACCAGTGGCTCACACCTTACCTGTTTAGGAGACAGAGATCAGGAGGATCGAGGTTCAAGGCCAGCCCAGGCAGAAGGAAAGTGAAACCCATCACAAAACCCAACATGAAAAGGGTTGGGTTGGGGGAGGTGACCCAAACAATGCACACACATGAGTAAATGTAAAAACAATAAAACAAGAAAAAAAGGGTGGGGGGGAGGGCTGGTGGCGTGGCTCAAGTGGTAGAAAACCTGTGTAGCAAGTGTGAAGCTGAGTTTCACCAAAAAAAAAAAAAAAAAGAGAGAGAGAGAGAAAGAAGTTTACAACAGATAGAATGCTAGAGTGCAGTTCAACTTTAGCTACCAGAAAAAAAAAGACAAAAAGAAGTCGTTGAGTGGAGCTATCGCCTGGATTAGAGCACACAACTGTTAGTTGCACAGTTGCTATACCAGACAAGTTCAGAGCTGCTTAAATCACCCAACATAAGGACAGCAATAAATAAGCATATGTTTACTAGCAGCTGTCAGCCTAGAGAGTAACATTTTCCATGAAGAATCTGTTGTGCAAAGAAAACCCTGGGGTGGAAACGCTCCCTCAATCTTACCAAGCAGCACATTCCTGTAAAGCAACTGCTGGTCCCAAATCCACTGACGTAAGCACAGTAATTAGGAGCTAACCTAAGCAAAAGAAAAGAGGATAAAGACAAAAACCCACCACGTCCTCCAATAAGGGAGTTCGACAAATTAAGAAACATCAGTGTAACTGGCAGCCATGTTATATCATTGGGTGTAAAACAGAAGTTACCAAGGAGTCTATACAGTATAAACTCTTTTTGTTTATACCATGCACACGCTCAGAATAATCTTTTAGAAAAATCTTTGCTTTAACTTCACACTTGTACCTAGACACCTCTCCATATTTCTGTTTCCTTGATAGTAAAGCCTCTTTAACTCCATGGTTGCTTTCTGCCTATCTCTCAGCCTCCTTAACCTATTCTATTCCTGTTACCGCCCTCAAATTCTTGCTATGACGTCATCTATGATGCCAAAACTAAAAACATGACACTACTCACAATCATTTAAAAAGAGAAGGAAAGGGTGGGCATAGTGATTCATACTTATAATTCCAGCTACTTGGAAGGCAGAGATCAGGAGGATCAAAGTTCAAGGCTAGCCTGAACAAAAAGTTAGCAAGACTCAATCTCAACAATAAGCTGGTGTGGTGGTTCAGGTCTGTCATCCCAGCTATATGGGAGGCATGGTAGTACGACAGCCGTCCAGGCTGACCTAAGGAAAAAGTGCAATACCCCATCTGAAAAATAAAACAAAAAGGTCTAGGAGTGTGGCGTAAGTGCTGGAGCACCTGCCTAGCAACCGCAAGACCCTGAATTCAAAGTCTGGTACTGCCAAAAAATAAAAGAGACAGATAGGTATAAACCTAACATATGTAGGACCTGCATGCCTTACACCACAAAAAGGTGATGAAAAATATCAAGTTGAAGCCGGGCACCACTAGCTCATGTCTATAATCCTAGCTACTCAGGAAGCAGAAATCAGGAGGATCAGAGCCAGCATAGGCAAATAGTTCCTGAAACCCTATCTCGAAAAAAGAAACCCACATAAAAAATGACTGGCAGAGTGGTTCAAGGTGTAGGTCCTGAGTCAAACACTAGTATGGCAAAAAAAAAAAAAAGCTGGAGTTGTGGCAGCTGGGTGAAGTGGTAGAGCGCCTGCCTAGCAATTAGGAGGGGGAAAAAAAAAATTAAACACAGGATTGTTGCTAGGCACCAGTGGCTCATGCCCAATCCTAGCTACTCAGGAGGCAGAGAGCAGGAGGACTGCAGTTTGAAGCCAGCCCGGGCAAATAGTTCCTTGAGAGACTATCTTGAAAAAAAAAAAACAACCCTTCACAAAAAAGGGCTGGTGGAGTGGCTCAAGGTATAGGCCCTGAGTTCAAGCCCCAGTACTGGAAAAACAAAAAAAAAAACCCACAGGATTGTCAAGATACAGCAATTCAACTTCTGAGTATATACTCAAAGAACTTCAAGCAAAGACTTGAATGGATAAATATGTATCAGTGTTCAAAGTAGAATTATTCATAATAGTCATAGTCAAAAGGTGGAAGTTGTCATACATGATGGCCCACACCTGTAATCCCAGCATTCAGGAGGCTGAGGCAGAAGGATGGTATATCCGAGGCCAACCTCAACTAGAGTTTACGGTTAGCCTGGAATATAAATAGGGACCCTTTCTGAAAAATAAAATAGCTGGATGCTGGTGTCTCACACCTGTAATCCTAGCTACTCAGGAGGCAGAGCTCAGGAGGATCACAGTTCGAAGCTAGCCTGGGCAAACAGTTTGAGAGACCCTGTATCAAAAAATACCTAACCCAAAAAACAGAGCTGGCAGTGTGGCTCCAGTGGTAGAGCACCTGCCTAGCAAGTGTGAGGCCCTGAATTCAAGTCCCAGCACCATAAAATAAAATAAATAAAATTTAATTTAATTTAAAAAAAGGCAAGCTACATGTGGTGGCACTCACCTGTAATCACAGCACTTGGGAGGTATAAGCTGGAAAATTGCAAATGTGAGGCCAGCATGGGCTATATAACAAGACTTTGTCTCATAAAAACAAAAAAATAAAACAAATCTAAAAAGGATGCTTTCTGGGCTGGGATGTAACATGCATGACTAGCATTAAAAGACTCTAAGTGCATAGAAATAAAAATAAAATAAACCTGACATCATAAAAGGCAAGATGGGGGGCATAACAAAGAACACTAGCCAACTTGAAGAGGCTTCCACCACATCTGGGTCAATCTAAACATCAAAGTCATGATGATACCAGATCACAAGTCATAAAGTAGGACACTGTGAGTATACAGATACGAATAAATGAATACACTGCAAGCTTGAAGGGGGATTTTGGTAGTTTCAAAGCATTTCCTCATAAACTACTTAGCAATTTTAATGGGAAAGGAGTAACTTTCTAGTGGGGATTGGCTAACACCACTGCAACCAAATGATCACAACACACATCAGTAAGTGGACAAACTGAAACTGTGTGCCTCCAGATGCAGATGAGCACGAGATGCACTCAGCATTGGCTCTATGGATGTTCTTGACAAAGATGCCTGACCTGAAGTTCGTCTGAAGGAGACATCAAATAAACCTAAAGTGAGTGACAGCCTATAAAATAACTGGCCTATCATCTTCAAAAGTATCAACATCTTGAAAATCAGCCAAAAACTGAGGAACTGTACTAGAGTTAAGATTGAAGACAACTCAGGTATGGTAGTGCACATCTGCAATCCCAGCATTTGGGAGGCTGAGCGAGGAGAATCTCCAGTTCAACCCTGGCCTGGGCTACATTGTGAGACCCTATCTCAAACAAACACAAACAAACAAAGAAAAGCGAACCTAAATCTAAGGTGTTAGAGGACATGACTTCTGAGAGGCTGGCAATGTTTTGTCTCTTAATCTGGGTGTCGGTTACAGAGACTCATTCTGTTGTAAAAAATTCAACGCCTTCTATACACATTTCTGTTTATTAATTATACGTGAATAAATATTTAAAATCCTTCAATAAAATGATTCTTTAAATTAGGCATGGTTCTGCACGCCTATAATCCCAGCATTCAGGAGGCTGAGGCAGGAGGATTGTGAGCAGCCAGGATTAATCACACAGTAAGAACAGTTGGGGAGAAAGTAGATGAAACAAGAAGGGCAGAAAGTTGATGGTTGTGATGACTGAGTGATGAACATGTGGGTTTCACTGGACCATCATTTCTACATTTGTGTCTTAAAAACAGAAGTCAGACCTGAAGAATCCCCTACTTAAAATTTTCTCATGGCTTTCCAGAACATACATATTAACTCCGGAGCTCATTACCTGCCCCGGTGGACTCTACACACCCTGGTCCTACTTACTTCTTCCACTTCATCTCAGACCACTACTGCTTTACTCACTGTGCACAGGCCCTGATCCATCCATGCCACACATGGCTGACTCCTCAGCCTGCAGGTCTCTTCTAAATGCTCCTCTCAGAAAGGCCCTTCCTGACCCTGCTCCAGTGTAACTCTCTTCCACAGCAGTTCTTTTCTATTTTATTTTTTTGGTAGTACTAGGGTTTGAACTCAGGGCCTCATGCTTACTAAGTAGCCACTTTACCTCTTGAGCCACTTCACTAACCCAGGAATTCCTTTTTTAAATTTTCATCACAGCCATAAATTTGTCATGTTCACAAATTTCCTGAGGTTAAAAACCTTTGCCTGGCTGGCTGCCAGTGGCTCACACCTGTGTTTGTAGCTACTCAGGAGGCAGAGATCAGAAGGATGTGGTTTGAAGCCAGTTGGGACAAATAGTTCCATGTGACTCCATCTGGAAAAACCCTTCACAAAAACAGAGCTGGTGAAGTGGCTCAAGGTGAAGCCATGAATGTCCCAGTACCACAACAAAACAAAACAAAACAAAACAAAAAACCTTTGCCTGTATTAGTTAATGTTCTCCAGTGCTTAAACTAATGTTGGGCTCTTAAACACATTTTTTTCTTTTTGTACTGGGGCTTAAACTCAGGGTCTATACCTTGAACCACTCCACCAACCCTTTTTTTTGTGTGTGTGATAGGTTTTTTGGAGTAGGGTCTCGGGACTATTTGTCCTGGCTGGCTTCAAACCTGATCCTCCTGATCTCTGCCTCCTGAGTAGCCAGGATTACAGGCATAAGCAACAAGAGCCCAGTTAATGCTGGGCTCTTGACGGGTAATCATTAAGTGCTTTTGAATAAATGAATTAATGAGAATTTGAGAAGCATTCAATTACCAGTATCAAAAAAGAAAAAAATCAGACATGTTTTACATGTCTACATGTTTTAGTGTTTCAGTAGTATTTTTTAACACCAGAAGGACTGTGGTTTGAAATCAGCTGGGGCAAAAAGTTCCGCAAGACCCTATCTCAAAAAAACCCATCACGAAAAAAGGGCTGGTGGAGTAGCTCAAGGTGTAGGCCATATTCAAGTCCCAGTACCAGGAAAAAAAAAAAAAAAAAATACTGATCACCACAACTACCTGTTGTCTTTAGAAGCACATCTGCAAAACTGTGAGGGATTAAAAAAAGGCTGGCTTTTTGTATTCATTATAAAAATCTCAATTTAAAAATTACATACCTTTTGAGGACTCAATATAAATTCATTGCAGGAAATTCTAGGTACACTTTCTGATACAGCAGAATAAGTAGGATGTTAATAAAAGCAAACCAAGTTTGAAAATTCCCCAACAATCGCCATATGTCTTGTACGTGATACTGACCTGTACCTCTGAAAATCTCCATGCCGTAAACCATGCTGCTGCTGGGAGTCCTTAATAATCTGAAGAACTAGAGCCAAGATTAAGGAAAGGCTTCTGACAGCAAGAACCCAAATAGATCAAAACCTGTACCATTAGTCTATATGTGTGATAAACCACAGTACGTTCAACATTTGTGAATTCTTGGTAGATAAACTAGTGAAACCTTTGTTAACCATTTGCAATAGCTACCTTATCATAATGCAAGGATAAATTTGCAGAAAAATTAGTTATCTGAACCATTACTATTTTCAAACTAAAAAAGAGGGTAGTGCCAACAGGGGTGGCTTAAATAAAGCTGCTGGATTCTAAGTGCTGACTATAACTGCAGTGGCTCTTGCTGGTTTACACCTGGATCCCATATTTTATGGTTCATGTAGATACGGATTACAGATGACATATTCTGCACTTCTATTTTCCTTCTACACTTAAGAAATCTAACTTTCCTAACAGCTGTGATGCTTCCAGCACCTATGATCAGCACATTTCAACCAAGACAGGCCAGTCTCCACAAAAGTATTAAAAGTTTTAAGAGAACAACCCCTGGTCCAGGGATAGCTCTGTGGAAGAAGCATTTGCCTAGTATGTACAAGGCCCCTGGATTCCATACCTAGCACTGAAAATACATAAATAAAAGTCCTGACCAAACTCTCCTTTTAAGAATCTTAAAACAGTTAACATTCTCCACCAAACTTTAGGAAATTCAAAAGTTAAAGGTAAAGTCCTTTACCTACCACTTTAG